AAAAATTCAACTGCTTACCCTTTGAATTCTCGCACTACCTTTGTACCCCATACATTTTACAAATAAGAGAAGCACTATCAATTTGAATGAATATAAGTAATCTTGGCAACCCTCACGTTCGAACACGCCATCTATGGGATAGACAGGAAACTCAAACCTTACTTATACAAGGTATATAAGAGTCTCACATCGGTCTATTGCAAAGTAAAATTTCGACATCTACCGCCAAGCTAGTTCTACTCGCTTTCACTGCGAGAGAACTAGCTAAAACTAGAGGCGATTGAAAAATAATACAATGTAGTACTCATTTTGATCTACACTTTGCACTAGGTATATGGACACAATTCTAAAAAATTGAATTAGTAATGAGATATGAGTTCCAGGGTTATCTTACCCATGATAGCATATGGCTCGGTGGTATGGTGGCCAAAGACTCAGCAGGCTGGGGCGATTCGAAGGCTAAGTGGCATTCAAAGGCAAGCTTGCCTGGCTGCCACGGGCGCTATGAGAACCACCCCAACAGCCGCATTAGAAGTCTTGCTGAACCTAACGCCACTACATCTATANGACCTTTGACAGATGATGCCAGTGTTCTCTGGTATTAGATCACGAATCCAACGGTTTTAGGCTGTTGATTCACCAGTTGCCTGTATTTAGTGAAATCAACAGAGAGGAACAAACAGTGAGTGATGTATTACAAAGCACCACATTTTCTGTTTATCTCATAGATGGCGTCTTCATAGAGAAAGTGGCTTACCTACTTTTTACTTTTTTCGATAATCAAAATGGTTGAAATTTCCCACATGAAACAATGTGTTATTTTTCGTTTAAATAATTCATAGTGACATGTGTATGAATCGAGGCGATAATTTCAACTTAGTACTCATTCATTAATATAATAATCAAAATAATAATTTTTGGAGTTTTGGCACATAGGGAAGCTCAGGGTTTCCAATCGGGGCCACTTCTCTCTATTTATGAAAGTAAATTGTATTACCTTGTTTTACGAGTTTAAAAAACTTCAAAACTTTATCTCTGATCCCTTTTTTAAAACATTCAACTGGTCAAAAATAAGCTCAAACATTGAGATGCGATTTTCAAAATCAATTGTGACCCGCACAAGCATTCAACAAGATACTCAGGCAGTCTGAAAATAATGAAAATGAAAACAAATATTGAACAAAATTCGATTTATTATAAAAGTATCAAGTTTTACAATGAGCTACCAGAACATAAATAAAAAAAATATTGCTATAAAACTGTATATATTTATGTGTATGCCAATGTTACAAAATATTTCAATCAGAAATGAAACCACTTTTAGCTATATATATTCAACTATTCATGTATTTTTGCAGCTGATGATGGACAAACTCGAGCAAATCGATAACTTAGCAAGAAATATAAGCAACCATGTACAATCTACCTTGTCAAATTCCGAAAACACAGAAAACGTCACGCACAACCAAATATACAGGGAGATTCAAAAGCTATCAAGGTCGCTAACGACCTCAATCAGCGCAATAAACAACAACACAAGAGATACCTGCATGCAAGAGAAAAATGTAGTTGAACTTTTTGACTCCTTCAGGAAAAAACTCTTGGAAAAAAGTAACAACAAAACAAATGATAAAATGAACGGACCTAAAATAGATGACACGACGATACAGGCAGTAATAAAAGTTTTCGGTCAGGGACCGAAAGCCAAACCTAAGCCTCATAAAAAACGCAAATGCAAGCATTTGGAGGAACTTATAGACATAAGAGCGGGTGACCCGAGATTTTGCGAGGAGGGCGAGGAAGAAACGCCCAGTAAAAAACTCTCTGAACCAACGAAGAAACCGAAGAGGAAAAAAAAGAAGTACAAGATTGACATACGGGGCGATATCAATGCCACTGATGAAGATATAGAATATGAAGAATACGACTCATCAACTGAAGATATGAACGCAGCAGAAACTACTTACGAAACCACTAGTCCTACTGTGACTGACGCATCAACCGATGGTGTTGGTTTGGGAACAGAAAAAAATAATATCTCAAGTACTTACTAATCGGAAATATGGGGGTGTACAGGAAGTAGATGCCTTCTTGACTATCACTGGATATTTTCTAGCCAAACTGTGAATTGTGTGTGAATATCGTTGTTTTTGTATTTTTATATGCTTCTCTACTAACAGGTGAATTACAGATGTATTTTTATTGATCCTAATTTTCATTTCTTATATAAAATTCGGCACAATTACTTCAGCTTTTGAACTGCCATATTAAATCACTATTGTGATTCACTTAAATTAAAACAATAAAAGGTAAAAACAAGCATTTTTCCAAATGACTAGAACTTCGATGTTCTTCTCAACGCGCGTTTCACCAATCAAGTTGGCGTTATCAGGAGATGAAGAAAACCATTTTCGACATAACAATAAGTGAATATTACTGGAGTTTAATCCCAACACCAAACCGTTATTTTTAACACCTCGCCACGTGTTTCAATCACCAAGTGATCATCTTCAAGATAAAATTAAACTCAGGAAGATTAAATTGAGTTTAATCTTTCAGATCACTTAGTGATTGAAACATGTGTCGAAGTGTTAAAAATAAGGGTTTGGTGTTGGGATTATGATATAAATTGATTTGAAATCCCTGAAAAATTACAGTAAAATGCTCTTCTGATAGAAGTATATCTTTTATAGTATGACGATCTGCAGATAAACACGTCAGCAGACTTAAGCGGTTATATGGCTGACACTTATGATGAAGGGATTATTTCAGATGTTATTTCAAAAAGTTTTGCAGCGGAAATTGATTTTCATAGGGACGCTGTAAAATTGCTTTTGCAGCCAATATTTTCGGTGTTCCATCAAGTCCATCGCAAGATCCTTTACTGTAAATTGTGGCAAAAAAGTTTAATTTGTCTTCAGCGTTGGAGTCTTCAAAGTGGTGGCACAGATTAGAAAAGTTCTTTGTATTTTTTGTATTGAGCGGAACAAATCATTTTTTATTAATGTTCTTTTGAACAAGTTAGTTTTAGAAATTGCAGATAAATGTAATACTAGAATATATTTTATTTGTTTACTTAAATGATAGTTAATTTTTCTTGATTTCTTTTCAAGTTTTGGATATATAAATTTGGAAAAACCTAGAAGTTACAATCAGTTTTGAATTGTTTTAACTAGAATAAAATATATGAGACCACTTCTGAGGTTGCAGTTCATTATGAGATGAGAAATTGGGATTTGAGTAAATACCTGCAGAGATTTTGTTTTTCAAGAAACTTGAAATAGCTATAACTTATATTGATAATAATCAATTGAAAACAAAATATGATTGAAATTTTCAAGGCCTAAACTGATGTCCTATTCAAATTCCAACATTTGGACGTGTACAAACTTTCAATTGATTTCTAGAGATGAAGCATAATCTGGCTTTCCACAACCAGTTAATAACAGGTATATTTTGAATGTAGGAAAAACCCAGATGTTTCCCAGAAGACCAATGACAATGGATATACATGAGATTGCTAGCACGATATTGCATCATATATCAATGCTTTTGAAGAAAAAATTAAGGAAATAATAGCAATTTGATTTTTGACATACCAGGTTTCACAAAGGTTATACTTTATATATAGTTTTCTGTCACTGTGCATAAAGTATTTGGACACATAAAATTCAAAAAATCAGCACTCCAGTAAATGCACACAGGGTACTTACCTCAAGTTTAGCACTATTTTGGAAAATTGTCTGTGCCTTATGAGTGAGCTGCGCAAAACAAGAACTGATGGTACATAATTTCTGGCGACAACTGAACACCACATTTGGTTCTTCAGATTCCAACTCCCCTAAAAAAAGGCATCATCACAGATGTTGCTCTAATGTTTGGAATTCAATTGATTTCCCCTGGTATGAAACCCCCAGTAAAAACCTAATGAGATAAAGAGGGACTCAAATAAAACTATTCATTTAATGAGGTGAATTGGTGCCGTACAAGCGTCCGTGATTAAAGCATGAATAATTAAATAAAAACAACAAATGGTTTCATATCATGAAGTTGTTCCGGTGTAATTGCACAAAAGGGAAAAGTACAAGGTAATGCAGTCTTGTCTATAAAGAGACTTACCGACTGTCAAATCCAAATCAACAAAAGCCTTATCGAATTCTTTTTCTAGAATATCCAACCATCTAAAACCTATACTAGCCATTTTCAAAAACTTGACACCGTCACCAACACCATTTATAAATCTGGACAAGAGAAACGTCAAGATTGAAGAACTGCTCGTATGACAGATGTCAGATATAAATCTTCGTCTTTTATTCAAATATTTGACCATAGTTTTAAGAACCTTCAACAATAATTATTTTCTTTTGGGTAAAATCCCACGGAAATTATTCTTCTGTCAGTTTTAATATGGTTGAATTTCATTGGCGACAAACGTTGCAATGATGGATAACTTATCATCATTGTTTGTTTCTGCGTTCAATTTGTGATGCAATAAGACTTACATGTACTAAATAAACTGTTTTCATTTTACATAAACATACCTCCTTTATTATTGAATCATGTAGTTCTTTTTTACAAGTTACTTTATTGAACGATGTTTAATTAACATTTATAGTCTACCAATGGTTACTGAATATGTTTCGAATGGACAAATACATGAATTCACCTCTGAATAAGCTACAGATGTCGTTGAATAACTTACTCGCCTTTATAATATACATGTTCAAAGAACGTATCCACGAACAAAACGTGTTATGTTTCAGTATTCACTGTCCATGTCGGTCATTGTGCCAAAAACAGTACCACTCAAAAACTTTTGTACGTCAATAACCAGCTAGCTTATTTTTAAAATAAACTTCAACGTAAATCATTTAAGAAAAATAGAGATTCAATGTTCAGCAAAAAAGTATTCACATTTGTTATGTTTCATTACATTTTGTTATCTTCTGTGTAAGCTATCATATCTTGTTTTAATACGGATTTATACGCAAGTCTCAATTTTAAAATATTTTGAATTCAACAAGTACATATATTAGCCCTGATACAAGGTGGTAAAAATTGCTTTCCTAATAACACAAAACTCCAAATGTTTGACCAAAAAACGTATCTGGTTGATAAATGGAACCTTACTTACCTCAGTTTAATTATTCAGAGATAACCTGTCAGTATTCGGTAGTCTCCAATGACTGTGCTTTCTGAACAGGTAATAGAAGTGATTTTTCTATCAGAATTGACAATGAGGGCCATCATCGGCAAGGCTGTCAGAGGGCGCGAGATCAAGACGACAACATTTAAACAGCCACTTCAAGTGTCTGAGAGATGGATGTTTGATTTCTGTTTGTTTCAGGAATTTCAAATTCATTTTGCAAGGTGTGGCGGCTATATATATTCATAATGAAAATTTATTATTTATCAACATTTCTAGCAGTTAATTATTCAATAGCTCTAATCCAAAGATAAAGTCAGATGAGATAAAATAACTATGATTTAAAATCACTAAGAGTAATGAAGCATGACCTTGTTTAATTACTAGGGAAAAGAGCTTCTGTCTTGAGCAATGTAGAACTAACAATAGATGAAAGATCAGACAATCTGTCAAAGTTAAAAATTTTATATTCTAATATTATTTGGTATTCTAAAAAGGTTCTGAAAAGTCACAGAATATTTCTTCATATACTCTGTCGCCTTCAGTGCCTTCGAAATATTCAGCAAATGATTATAACAGTTGCTAATCTATAAAATTAATACAAAATATTCAAATACATTTTGAGATCAAGGAGCAGAATTATGTTCTCTTAATTCTTAGAGGAAAAAACGATAAAATATCTTCACCAAGTCTTAATGAATATAACTTCAAATTATGAAAGATTTTGTTGAAATGACTTTTTAGAAACCATTTAAATTCATGTGTGAAAACATTTTTACATGTCAATCAATCCCAGTTTTGTCATTTATATAGAATCACAACAAGACAATTAAATTTACTTCATTTTGGGAAAGTCCTCTGAAATATTGATATTATAATTTACTGGTGAGGTTAAAAAGTGAAGAAACAAAAGTTTGAACCATCAGAAACTTGGACTTTCTCAAAATAATATCGAACATATTTTCAGTAATATGTTTCATAACAAAAAACAATAGTATTTTGAAATTGATCAACAAAAGTTTCGTCCTGAAAACTGCATGTTTGAGTGTTATAACAACTAATGATATACCAAACAAAATTAATGAAAGAAAAGTGCAATTGTCAAATAATTCATTCAAGTAGTCGTCACATCATACTCTCAACTTGAAAAATTTAGTTTCAACTCGTGTTTCAATAAAGTTTCAACACAGAAGTATCCAAAGGATTATTATCATAAGGACGAACTTCTGCAAAATTTTGCTCTTTTAGTGTTTTGCCAATATCTATTAAACCATTCAATGTTTTTAGGGTGATTCTTAGAGGGGGAAAATATGACATTGTAACAGCTAAGAAGTTGTGAAAATAGAGATTTCTGTTGAAAAATTCCATGGCTTTCTCGGTACAGCAGCCTTCTTTCATTTTATAATCATTGATGTAGCATTCGACAGCTTGAAAAGGAAGGTTCAGTAGATGAGATTGGATTTTTCGTAGATCTTTTAAGGTTACTTTGAGAGTTTCCCCGACATCTACAGTAAAAACATGAATATCAGTTTCACTCTGAGAAGAACTGCCTATTTCCCTAACGACAGCTCTGAGCCACTTTTTACTCCAATGTTTGACCAACACAATCTCACCGATGGCTGGCAAAATTTTGAAAGATTCATAGGATTTTTCTGCCTTTGGCGAATTCATAACTGCTAGCAATGAATAGAACTGTTTGTCGATCATATACTTACTTTCCTTATGAGGAGTCCTTATGATTTGAACAAAAAATCGGCATATGTCAATGTAACATGTTACCAAAACTGTCACACATTCTCCACAGGCAGGCAGCATAAGAGTACACATAGCATTTTTGAAAACCAACTCTTTATCAGTGGTGAAACCATCTTTAGAAAGACTGGCATGTTCCAACTTACAACTCTTCCCTTTATAACAAGTCCCATCTTTTCTGGTAAAAGGGCATATTCTAGCCTCGTCCTTAGCATCGTATCCTGCTATGGCTTCGTTGATGTTGTCTGCAGTCTCCAGATCATCAACATCATCCAAAAACACTTCTAACTCCATGTGCTCTTCATCATATTCTTCTATAATCTCCTTAGCTAGGCCCAAATCCAACAGAATCTGAGCGACTGTTAGTTCTTCATTGGTTTCTTGACAATCACAGAAGTCCACACCAAGGGAATCACCTTCAGGTTCAGCATAAACTATTCTGAAAGGAATTTCTTGGTTTTCTCCATTTCGTGATGAAACACTCAAATCTGCAAGAGCATTGATGCTATCTTCTGGCCAATCTAATGTCCTGTTGAGGCGTGTAGCTGTTGGTGGGTATAACAATGGAAAGTGACAACGAACTGCCAACTTAGGAATATTAGAGAGTTCTTCCAACATCACCCTCAAATTCTGGTAAGTTACAGTTTGTTTATTACCATAATCGACTAGTTGGATCAGCACTTCATCTGACTTAACATGAAAATACCAGTCCAAAACTTCTGCTCTAAACCATCTACTGAACTGAGAAACATATGCCAAGCAGTACCTGCCCATATCACTGCACGCTAATTCTTTGCTAGAATGAGTTGGCAGACTTCTGTTATAATTTTGATGGATTTTTTCACTGAGATCATCTATCGAAACAGTTTCGTAATCAAGAAGATGTATATAAAATTCTGAGGGTGACACAATGTGACTAAACAAACATTCGTCTCCCACTGATGGGGTTCTCTTAGAGCGCAGTTCTGAAACCTTAAATTTTGTTTTCTTTTTTACACTACCACTAGATGGATTGGCTTTTGTGGAAGAAGTTGCTTTTATATTGTTAGAATTTTCATTGTTCAAAGTTTTCAAAGAATGTTTAGAAATCTGCTGAAATTCTTTGGTAGTTCCCACCCAAGAAAAGTTAGATGATGTTTCAGGTTCGCTGGTATCTTCAGTGTCAGTATCTCCAACACCACTAGTTGAACTATTAGTGAGCTTTGAGCAATTCCTTGGTATTATTTCAGGTTTATCATTAATGTCTTCACTACTCTCGCCTGAAACAGCTGATATGCGTTCTTCTCTAAAAGGTTCTTCAGAACTGTCAGAATCTTCAATACTTACTTTAGTAATTATGCATTGAGATGAAATACTTGAAGTTTGCGCCTCTTTGGAGGGTTTTTCTTTACTCAAATTGGTCTGAATTTTATAAATGTCTGTGGATGGTTTTTCTTGACTTGAAATACTTAAAACTTGGCCCTCAAAGTCTTTGGATGGTTTTTCTTGCTTTGGAATATAGTCTGTATATGTTTTTTCTTGACTGGAAAAATGTGCTTTGTTCAGTCCTAACACACTAGACTGTTTCAGTGAATCTTTGAAGCTATTTAGGTCAGGGGATGGTGGATCACCGGTTGGGATAACTATGGCTGACTCTCTATGATCAGAAGCCAAAATTTCATTAACCAGCCTTTGAGTGTTAGTGTACTTTATATCACTACCTAATTCTGGTACACCAACCCTTTTCACATTTTTTTCTAGCGAATCTAAAACAGTACTTGCAAGTCCTGATGTACTTTTCAATATATTTGATCTACTAGTAGGGGCTTCTTCAAATTGTTTTTCCATATCAAAATTCATATTCACAAGCATAGCCAACAGTTGGATTTCATATTTCAAAATCTCTGTAACATCTGATTCTCGCATATTTTCAGTTGGACTCCTCACATACCTCACATATGACCAAAGGTGATCAAGCATTAATTTCAAATTATCTTCGAGTAGTAGTTTTTCTTCAATTATCTCATCGAATTTGGTTAAGACTTTTTCCGTCTTGGACTTTCTTTTCTCCATAGCTAAAAACAAATTACTAATGAACTCTTTATGATGACCATATAAGATAATGATGCCTTAATTTCCAACAGGATCACACCCTATTTCTAGAAAAACAGAAAAATATGTTTTATAGTTAATATTATTCAAGTGGCATTAAGGAACAACAAACAAATTGATTTATAGCTATTTAAACAATTGTTAGGGTATATAATCTTACACAATCTGAAAAATAAACAAAACTAAATCAATAGAGAATCTGCTGAACTTTTCAGTTTGCCCTTCCTTATACTTCAGAACTACTAAGAACTACTGAATCCTCCACAAAAAGTGGCTTTCAAAGAAGATATGCTGTTCCTCAAGGAACTGCTTTTGGGCCAATCCTTTTAATCTATATATTAATGACCTATTTATACAAATACTGTGTGTTAAAATTATTAGTTCTGCAGATGATACTGCCATTTTCTACCAAGTTTCTGATTGGAAACCCCTAAGAATGTCATTGAGGTGGACTTCCGAATTGTAGTGAATTTTTTTAAGCACAGACTGTAGAGATATGAAAAAACATATTTCTTACTGTTCACATCATATTCTTCACATTCAACAGTTCATGGTGAACTGATTAAACTATCTATGATCAAAATAATTTCAAAATAAGATTAGTGAATGAAAAGAAATATTAAGTTACACACATGGATAGTTTACACTTTGGTTGAAAGTAATCTTTCTTACAGAAGGGATCTTTGAGAAATTCAGTGAAAATATTCAAAAATGCATTTTCGAGATGATATACAAGAAACATATTCAGTGGATACTGAATAAAATAATGGAAAATGTGCGAAATACATTTCTATTCTTCGACTGACTGATGAACATTAAATGCAGAATGTAGACGTTCATGTTCCGGGTATGCACAGATATAAAAACGGTGTTTTTTCTTACTCACCTCAAATATTTTGTTACTACAGAATGTTTTGTGTACTTTTGATGATTATAAAAAATTGAGACAAGTTAATGGATTCACTGAAAAATCTATGATTTCAACTGTCTGAAAAATATTCATTTTTTCCAGAATCTAGAGATTGTTATTAGGACAAAAACTCCAGCTTTGACGGAAAGCCATGTGTAAAGTCAGAAAGTGTCATTAAAAGTATATACACAGAATACTGATTAACTTGTTTCTGTAGTCTGTGAGTATATACAAGGCATATACGACGATACTATGACACTTCGAAATAGTTACCCAGCTGCCCAGCTGATTATTGAGAGTAGTACATTCGCGTAAAACTTTTCAAGTCTCAACAGTGCGACTACATTTGACAGTTCTGAACTTAGACAAGGAGACAGTATACAGGCCAACTTATCTTCTTCTTCACTTTTAAATCTGTATTGATCAAAGTTAAATTAGACATTCAAGGATGTTTGGGGATGATACCAAGTTGATGTGACATTAAATAATATTGAACTTCTAAAAGCAAACATCTCCAAGGACTTAAAAAAAGGTTAAACAGTGGTGCGAATCAAATTTGCTTAATCTAGGCACCCATAATGTTAACAACAAATCGATTACAAAATTTTTGGGTATATCACTTAGATAAGTTAAAGTTTGAGGAACACATGAAAAACTTGAATAAAAAATTCGGCTCAGTCTGCTATGCAATTAGAACGATTACTAAGGAACTGAGCTTTAACTCAGACAAAATGGCCTACTTCTCGCATCTCACCTACGATATGGTTTTGCTTTTTGTTCTGCTGATGAATTCAATATCTGTGTCTCAGAAAAGAGCAGTTCAATATATTTGCAAAGGTAGCCTAGGGCTGACCTCTCTTATCAAACATTGAATAATCACTTTGTACTCCATATTCATCTTGGAAAAGCTCTGCTGAATACATGACATACACATCAAAATGATTTGTCTCTTTCTATACCTACATCTTCAACGAAAAATTTCGTCATATTTAAAAACAAAATGATTTATAACCACTGGCTTGTTCACAAATCATCCTTTATGTCGAACGACAGTGAAAAGTGCACTTGTGAAAGAGGCATACTCCAGTTTTCAGTATTTTATTGTCTTATCTTTCATCCCAACTTTATTTACATTTATTTTACTGTGTTCACTGTTACCTTTTCACTGATAACAAAACTCACCAACTAATGGGTAAATCTGTTTAGTTTTAATCACCATACAATGCAACGATTTTTCATACCATTCTGAATACTTTCGATTTTCGATACGCATCAGACGAAAAATAATTATATGGTTTTTTCAGTTTTCACCCCCTCCGTAGGGGTTGGGTGTGTTTTTGTTTTCATAAAACGATTTTTCACGCCATTGTAAATACTTTTTTTGATGGTTTTCATTTTTCACGCCATTGTAAATACTTTTTTTGATGGTTTTCATTTTGATGATCGATGCGCATCAGACGAAAAATAATTATATTATTTTTACACCCCTTTTACACCCATACACCCCTTCGCAGGGGTTGCGCTATTCAACATACTTCTTGGTGATTTTCATCTTGGCAGTCGATGCGCATCAGACAAAAACTAATTATTTTTCAAGTTTTTTTCCGCCATCCACCAGCTCTGCAGGGGTTGAGAGTGTTTTCGTTTCCATGAAACAATTTTGATCTTGACGGTCGGAGCGCTTTTTACAAAACTAGTTATTTTTGACAATTTTTTCAGCATCCATTCCTTTCGAAGAATTGATTACGATTTTCATTCCAACGATTCTTTTTGAAAAATTCATGTTACCTTTCTTAAATGAAATTCACCAATAAATCCTTACCATCCTGGCCAATATTTTTCTCCAGTATTCCTTAATTTAACTATTATCATATAATCCACTTCAATGTTTTGCTATAGTTCAATGTGTGCTGTTTAAAAATCGACAAAAGTGTTTGCATTAATTTTTTCTGTAATTCTTATTAAAAAGTCTTTTTATACAAAACTGTTACTTTTTCGCTCGAAAACTGAGTGTTTTTTTCCAACTTATTATAATAAATAATAAATACCGATGCCACTGTGCCTGTGACTGTGCCTTCGGCGATCTTCGGAAATTGCAGCTGATAAATATTGCTGCCAAGTTCACGTCGGATTTATCGTAATGAAGTAAGGTTAAAGTAACTTTAAATTTTTTATTTATAAACTACTAATTATTCCTTATTCCTAGACACGTATGATTTTTACGAGATGACGACCTCAACCAAAGATATTACGCTTCAAGAAAACATTCCATCAAACATTCTTATGGACAAACATATTGAATTCATCAGAGACTATGGGCAAAAAGAAAATAGCTATGAATATGGAATGACGGATTATCTTCGAGTATCTGGTATGTACTGGGGTCTGACAGCTTTGGAACTGATGAACACTTCACCACCTCAGAGTAAAGATGAGGTTTGAGTCATTCCCATTAGCAAAAGGTCAACTACTGACCTCTCATTTTCAGATTGCGAAGTACATCAAAAGCTGCCAAGACCCGGAAAGTGGAGGAATTAGTGCTTGTCAGAAACATGATCCTCATATCCTCCACACCTTGAGTGCTGTGCAGATTCTTTGCATTTATGACAACTTGGATGCTGTAGACATTGAAGCCATCGTTTCTTATGTAGCCAGTCTTCAGCTACCTGATGGTAGTTTCATGGGCGATAAATGGGGAGAAGTTGATACGAGATTTTCCTTTTGTGCAGTTGCGATTCTGTCCTTGTTGAATAAGATGGATGTAATTGATGTGAACAAAGCAGTGGATTTCATTGCTTCGTGCAGGAATTTCGACGGTGGTTTCGGTTCAAGACCCTTATCAGAAAGTCATGCTGGTCTTATTTATTGCTGTGTTGGATTTTTATCTATCACCAATAGGTAAAACAAACTTCATAGAATGTTTAAAGTTTGGACTTCCATTGTATGAAACCATTGTTAAACCATCTAAACTATCTAGTTCCTATCATAAAAATTATGTATGAATTGTATTTTTAATAAATTATACAGGGTGGCTACAGAGGGTGATATAACGCACTATTATACTTTACAGTGTAGGACTCACATTTATATTCTGACACTTTATAGCAAAGCTTATTGTTAATTCATCTGAAATTGGAATTTTCAACAGGTGATGATCGACTGTATTGCCAAACATGCGCCAAACTAACTGACTGTTATAAGGAAACAAGTATAGCTGAGGCACCAGTCAATCTAATAAGACTCAACCTCTGTCGGAAGCACCAAACTCTTTCGAAGGTTTGGAATAGATGTACACTTCAATCTAGCAGACCACTGTTGTAATATTTATGCAGTCATTGTTCACTGTCATTTTGGCGTTGAATTTTGTCATTATTACGCCTTGGTCAAAGACGAAACGGACTGGTTTAAGTTTGACTATAGTCGTGTCATGAAGTGTTCTGGCGATGTATTGAATGTATTGGGGCCTCTAGAGACATCCTACATTTTGATTTATGAGAGAGAGGACATTGGCAGATCAAGATCTTCAGATGATGTGGTGCTGCAGTTTTTTCCTGGTTTTTTTGCAGCTGAAAAAGCAAATGCGCCACTGGAATCAGTGAAGCGTTGAAGTTTCTGCTGATTTTTTGAAAAAAAATTGTAGAATAATGGACAAGTTACATTTTTAGTTTCAAAATTCTTTGTGTTTTCTGGGGAAACACTGATAGTTGTCTCACTAGTCCCCTAATCCAGGTCAATAGGAAGTGGACATTCTGAAATTGAAAAATGTTTCCAACAGGATGGGACACTTTGTCCTCAGTCAGTTTTTCTATAAGTCTGATTACACTATTGAATTTTCTAATTTTTGAATTGGGAAATGGAAGCAATTGTATGATCTGTCATACATCTAGATCTAACCTGAGTTTTTATAGGATTAGTCAACAAGCAACATGTTCTAAAGATTCAGTCTAATATTTTTTGGTCTTTCTACAAGATTAAGTTCAGCATTACAAGTTTTGAAACCAACTTTTTTCAGAAACTGACCATGACCATACACGCCAAATTTCCTTTTTTTTATAAGAAACGGTATTTCTGTTAATTTTATGAAATGTAGCTAAAAAAAGGTTTAATTTTATTCATGTATATTTCAGTTCAGAATATATCTATACAGTAAATCATTTCAACAATAACTACTTGAATTCACACAATTTCAAAATATTAAGGGTTCTACTGAAATATACACATGGCAAGTGTGATCTTGCTTTATCAAATGAAAATAATGGCGTTTTTCGCCAATCTTTTCATTTGATAAGGATTCATGTGAATCCTATTATTATATCTCAAAATATGGCTAAACGACGATCATTGCTCTGTACCCTGTATACTGTATATACTTGATATTGTTTGATGTTCATTTCTAGCATCTTTTGTTGTGTATACTTGAGTCATATAATTTTTTGTTTCAGTACTAGTAGATTTCAAATCTGGTAATGCTTTGAAACAATGAAACTCCAAACCTCTAACATTCAAAAACAATTGTAAAAATTTCAAGGTATGATGATGTAATGAAATTAACATTTTTTCTCAGGTTAGATATCGTTAACCGTGATACTTTAGCCTGGTGGCTTTGCGAGCGTCAACTTCCTTCCGGTGGGTTGAATGGTCGCCCTGAGAAACTCCCAGACGTTTGCTATTCATGGTGGGTCTTATCAACCCTCACTATACTTGGAAGACTACATTGGATCGATGCAAGTGCACTAAAGAACTTCATTTTGGCATGCCAAGACTCTGAAACAGGAGGATTTGCTGATAGGCCTGGCGATATTGCTGATCCGTTCCATACTTTGTTTGGTTTAGCAGCAATGTCGCTCTTAGGACATGAGTCTGTACAGAAAGTCAATCCTACTTACTGCATGCCACAGAATGTCATCGATAGACTGCAGCTCAAGCCTCAGAGACTAACAGATTGATGTGGTTTTTTTGTACTTCGTCATTCAATTTAGTTGTAAGATTATTATAAACAAACTAAAATATTTATTAAACATTTTTTTGAATATATGAAAATTTAAATGAAACAAGATAAATGAGATGAGTAAATATGGTTATTGAATTTGAATATTTGATGGTAGATCAGTGGCTTTGGTTTTTTAATAGACTGGCACCTGGGGATATATAAAACATTTAAAAAAATTCAATAGTATTAAAATTCTCGTTAAACCAATTATCACCTTCGTATATATAATAATTTTTTTGGCATGATGTTATAAATTTCATAAAGTTGGAGGTTTTGGGTTGAAATGGAGTCTTCTGTTAACCAGCTGTCATTCTCAAATGAATAACCCTCCAAAATATAAACTTGTGCGAGGTCTTGTTTTTAATATGCCATGTGTAGAATAGATTAAATAATGCACAACCTATATGTATATCTATTGTGTCAGATTTGGGGTCGAACCAACATCACAGTTGCTTACCAACTGGCTACTGCAGTATGACCACAGAAAAAAAATCATGAAGGCGGTAGATCAGATAGTTCTACTATAGTTATGTATAGTTACTCTGTCTTAATGATTTTGTTTACTGTCGAGCGAGCTTGAAACAATGAAATAATGTTTCCACGATGTTTACAAAGGTATTTTATGAACATATAAAATTAAAGTTTTGAAAATCAAGGTATTGATGCAACTTCTGTAAATCGGTAAAACACCCTAAAATTATGTCTTGAATTTTTTTCTAATCTCGGAAAGCTCTGCAGCCTGTCAAGTCCCCTAATTGCCCGCATTTGATGTCACTTGAATTATTTCACAAACAAAAAACTGGCTACGTTTATAGCATATTTAATGAGGATGTCTTGGAATGGCAGAGAGTATTTTGATTTGTAAAGGAAACATTAGCCTACACTAGAAAAAACTACCGATAAGATCAGGAGGTCGTAGATATACTATGTAGCCGAATCAACGAGTTTTTTCCTCAGAAGATCTCACAAACAGTTCAGGTATTGGATTTTTTTGAAATTTTTGTTTTGAAATTGAAACTGGAAACCTTTTGAAGCGAGGACAGAATTACAGTGTCATCCCCAAAAGTATGCACCACCATATGAGAAACTTATTTATTAAGGATTTTTCGACAAAAAGTTATTCTTGACAAAAGTTTGTACATCCCCTAAAACTAAAGATGCACCAACAAAATACAGTACAACACACGTAATATACGAGAAGCCTTCAAATATTAGATTTTGTGGCAAGAGTAAAGTACTCTCAGAAAAGTTGTTCAGTATTGAAGAATATATCTAGATTTGAAGTCATGGCCATCTTAGTGGAGTTTTATATTTTTAACCATTTTTTTTCAAATGGGGACTACAAAAAACAAATTTTTGCTAAAACCATTGTCTAAGTTAGACAATGCTAAAACGATAGACAGCATCCTGTATATGACAGTTCATTTTGAAAGCCAGTAATATTACAAAAAACACAACTGTCGTGTTAACCACAGACAAATTTCAAAGTCAAAGTTTTTGGTGCAAAGTTATTTTTATTTTTTGTTATCACCGAAAATTACTCAAAATTATACAGTATTGTAACAAAAACTCAATATTCAATAATATCAAATCACGAAAAATCAAAATAAAATAGGTATTTCTGAACAAAATCATTGATTTCTTAGAGATTTTCTTGTCCACCAGAAAATCAAAGAGTTTGACAAAATGGTTTAGACTTTCACAGCTGAGGTTTTCAGTGTCATTGCTTTTCGAGTTTGAAGCCTAAAAGGTAGTCATCGGACAGCAAGCCATGATGGTTAAAACCTCTGAAGAAGGTAGCCACTCGCGCCAGCGAAACGTCAGGAAGAAATTCCAAAAATCCACGGCTTTCAAACTCGAAAAGCAATGACACCAATCAAAGAGTTTGTTCCGAAATGCCTATTTTATTTTGATGTTTTGTGATTTGATATTATTGAATATTAAGTTACAATACTCTGTATAATTTTGAGTAATTTTCGGTGTTAACAAAAAATAGAAATATATTAGCACTAAAAACTTGAAAATTAATTTACTTTTCAAAACAATTGACCGTGGTTAACACCATAGTTGTGTAATTTATAATACTACAGGCTTTTGAAATGAACCGTCGTATACAGGATGCTGTCGATTTATCTTTTTAGCAACATTTTTTTTCGTAGTCCCCATTTAAGAAAATGGCTAAAGAATAAAACTCCACTTCGAAGGCCATAACTTCAAATCTAGATGTATTCTTCAATGCTGAACAACTTTTCTGAATAACATTTCCCGAGATTTTTCGAAAAATAAGAGTACTTTACTCTTGCCACAAAATCAAATATTTGAAGGCTCCTCGTATATTACGTGTGTTGTACTGTATTTTGTTGGTGCATGTTTAGTTTCAGGGGATGCACAAACTTTTATCAAGAATAACTTTTTGTCGAAAAACCCTTAATAAATAAGTTTCCCATTTGGTCCTACTTTGGGGATGACACTGTATATACATTTTTCAACGATTTACAGGGTGTCCCTGGACTTCCTCTTTTCCGCTCGGAAATTTATAGATCGGGTCAAAATATCACCAGTACTTCATATAACTTTTGTTTCTAAAATTCTTCGTTACCAAGTTACGGTCCCTCAAAGTTACAAAATGAAAAATGTTTTTCTTTAATTGATAACTTTTCAAGTGGATATTCAAAATCAACCAAATTTTGGTAATTAACTGAACAAATGAATTGCTTTGATGAGCTTTCATGTAGAAGTTAGTTGTTGCTACAAAGTCAATAAATATAGTTCAAAAAACTAATAAAAAACACGCTTTTATAGAACATCGAACTAAAAATTTGAAAATATTTTTTTAATAAGCTTAAAACAATAACGAACTAAAAATACTAGTATTATTATGAAAAAAGTGACGGGCGCTTTTTATACAAGAAATATGGCACAAAGCGCCCATGCATATGGTCCACCTCTACCAATCCATCTATTGTGGAATGTATGGTTCAAATGGTCTTACACAATCAAACTAAAATGAGAAGGAGTGCCATCATGCATAAACCACATCTCTTCTAGTTTGCAATGGAACATGTTCCTAAAGTAAATTCAAATCGTTCTGAAGGAACTCCAAATAACATTCATATCAGTCATGTAGAACAAATTTCCTTTGGTGTTTGGTTTGCATTATCCCATGGGCTGTGCCATTGGGATTTTCTTCGGCTCATATGTGGAGATTAAGAGAGTTGATGAGTGCATCTCTAGGTACTCTGTACTCTACATATTGATGAAATATCCTAATAAAACATCACATATTTTTCATTCAAACATTCATAGCATGTGATACTGCTATATCCGCTTTTCATAAAAAAAGAATATATTGAAAATACTGTTCCCACACAATCTTTTTTGTTCTCGTGTGGAAATTATGAATATGCAGTATGAATTGTATTCTCTTAATTAACTTAAACTGACAAAAATTTGAACGCACTGCGAGACAAAAATTTTGTAGCAGCTTTAAACAGCGAAAGCATAAAGTGTTTTTGGATATATACTGAATTGATTATTTCATCCTGAATGGTAAAACCAGCAAGTAGGTACTCAACTGGAATTAAAACGAATTATTTTTAAATGATTTGCAAGCAAAAGTAAATTATGTTACCTGCAAAAAAATGCGCAGATATGTACATTAATTAACTTTAATTCCTGCCAAGTACCTACCTGCTGGTTTTATCATTCAGTCAAAATTATATCGAAATGCGTTCTTCATTCATAAAATTTAAAAAACATTTACCATTTCATTATACAAACAATTTAATGTTCGAACTTGACTATTCCACAAAGGATTCAGCAAAATATGATTTATCATTGTCCACAATTTAATCGAATCTGTTCGTTAATAAAAAAGTTAATAAGTAAGCAAGTCCCACACGATGTCTGACTCTAGACTTTTCACTTCAGCGCTGACTTCTGATAGACACATTCTCATGTATTTAAGTATTTAAATTTTTTCGATTTATTGGTATTGGTAAGTTGCAGAAAAGAAAAGCATTAGAACGGTGATATCATAAGTTCCTCAAACTTTTTGTTCTTTATTTCCTTATCATTATGTCTAAGTCCAAGCCTTCTTTTAAAGTAGGTAAGTTGAAAACATTATATTTGTTATTATTGAGGTTATGTATGAACATGTGAATTTTTCCGATTCTTTTAAAATTGTATACCTATTGTAGCTATCATCATATTGAGTAGTAAATAAGATTTAGAAGTCGTTTTTTCAAAAACTCAAATAGACAGTATTGAGACTTCTGGTATCTTAAGATACCTATAAAATCGTAACCACCGGCTCATGGGTAAAAGGCGACAGAAAGTGGTTCCTTGGTTTGAATGAATATTTTATTTCCACTTTCCTCATTTAAAAAGTTCATTTCAAAGCAAGGATATATTATTGAATTACTTTTTGCTGCAGATAGTAAAATACACCCTGTAGAGTTAGAACCTACTAATAACTCACAAATTACAGTTTCACAACAATACTTTTCAATAACATGAAAAAAATGCTTAAAAGGGCATGAAAATGCATTTAAAAAATTAACCGCTTTTTAGTAGATATAAAGGGTGTAAGAAAAGTGCTGAATACATTTTACTGTCAGATATTCACCAAACATTTTATTCCACTGTATAAAGATTTTATTATGGCCTTTTACCAAATTTCGATGGGGCCCATCTAAAAAATTGAAAGGTTCATTTTCTAAAAAAGTATTTACCGAGAAATATTATTTAAACTCTTATCTAAATTGTGTAATTATATTTTGATTCACATCCTTTGAAGAATGACCTTCATGAATTATCTGGTTTGATGAAACATATCAAATTGATAAATATGAAGAAACAATTTTTCACAAAAGAACTTTCGTTTTTGGTTGTTTTAAATAAAATCACAACAAAGGAGAATTTCAATGATCACAAAAAGAAGAAAAGGATTATATGCCAAATAAATAACTCTAGTATTATACATTGAGTGTTTACAACTTTCAACACTGAAATATGTTGAAAAGAATCACTGCTCCAAACCACCAGAACTGCAACACTTGTCGCCCGTTTCACCCATTAAGACGGGGATATCGAGAGGCTAATGAAAAACTTGACTCCTACATCAGAACTATAACAATACTATTTACAAAGTGGCTTTCAAGATAAGAAGGTGTTGAATAATTTTTTTCTATAATCCGCTGATGATTCTCTTGTAAACTACAATGTTCTGCTGCAGATGCTTCAAACATATATCTGCAATGTGATAACTTCAATAAAAAATACAGTTTTTGAATTATAACTCATAATGTATCTGGTAACATGTAAGTTTTGATAATTTCTCGTAAGGGTAAGTGAAACAGTCCTAGGTTATAATTTTTTTTATTGTCAGTATGAAAGCATTTCAAAATTGAATGTAACCAATTATTCAAGTAGAAACTATTTATAGACAAACAAAAATTATGGTCATGCAGCAAATAGTCATGGTCTGTGTAAAAAGAGCAACAAAACACTCAAGAAAATAGTTGATGACAAGACATTTAAAAACAAATTCAAATATTCAATCAACCAATACCAACAGCAAATGAGATATTTCTGAATACATCTTAATTTGAAGATACAAGACAGTTATCAGTTTTTTAGGTGCTTTTATAACTTTATTTCAAACTGGTTTATAGAAACACGTTTTGAAGTGATCTGTAGTTCTTAAAATTCACGACCAGATGTGAAATTGGAACTTTGGTTATCCAGGCTACGTAGTCTTGGTCCAATGGAATGTTACGCCCATAACTATAATGGTCATCTTCAGCAATGGTTAGTAGCAATACGTTGCCACCTCCTTAGTGGTAAATTCATCAACGAGTCTACAAGGAGGTGGTAGACTCATTAATGAGTCACAATGCATTTCTGCCAACCACTGCTGAAGATACCCATCATTGTTATGTGCCGAACGTTCATAGTTAATCTCTCCATTGGACAAAGGCTATCTAGCCCAGATAACCAATGTTCGAATTGGTAGTTCGTTATAAATTTGAACATTCACCTTATTTTTTGAACAGTGCCACGTATGTATGGATTATTTCAAAAGAAACTTTATATGTGGACGCCATCTAATGTAACTGTAACTTTTGAATTATTTTTTTCAGCCGACATTAAGTTGGCAGAATGGGGACGCAAGGAAATTACTCTGGCAGAAAACGAAATGCCTGGATTGATGAGTCTTCGTAAAAAATATAACACCAACAAAATTTTGAAAGGAGCAAAAATCGCCGGATGTCTTCATATGACCGTTCAAACTGCTGTTCTGATCGAAACCCTTGTGGAGTTGGGTGCAGAGGTAAATATATTATCAACATTTTGAGTTAGTTATATTCTGCAAATAACTGGCTTTATAAGACTTATTCATAATAGATGAAATATATTCAAACTGATGACATTCAAATGCTTTTTATTATTTACATTGAAAGGATACACCAAATAAAATACCAAAGAAAATATCTGAAATATTGATAAATTATTATCCTAACTATGAATAATTTGATTGTTGAACTAAATTAGAATTAAACTTGTAAAGCTCAACCACAAAACCTTTTTTTCATGAAATCACTTCAAACTGGGTTTATTTTAAATATATCTCATTCACACTGTCTATATTTCAAGGCAACATATTTATGTTCTCAGAGATATGTAGATTAGGAAAGTTGAAAACTTACAGAAATATTTGTACATTTTCAATAGATCTTGTAACGAATTTCAGATCATCTAGAGTTATCACGAAAAAAAAAACAATGACTAATTTTGTCAGAAAAGATAAAACATCTTAGTACTTTTAATGTAATTAAAGTCTAGATTTCTATGGTCATATTGATGCCTCCTATTCAGGTTGAGGATTACATATAGTGTCTTGTTTTATTTATTTTTTTCAGCAACTTGCTACCTTTTTATGAAAATTATCCTAAGTTTCATTCATTCATTCACGAGCCTAATCATTTTCCAATAGTAGGTAATAATAATACTCATAGATAGATGAATTGCATTCTTAAATTGGTTATAAGATACAACTTTCATAAAAAACTTAAAACTTCTCATGAAACTCTCAAAAATATAGGTGCAGTGGTCAAGCTGCAATATATTCAGCACCCAAGATCACGCCGCAGCTGCCATAGCTAAGAGTGGGGTACCGGTATACGCTTGGAAGGGAGAAACAGACGAAGAATACATGTGGTGTATTGAACAGACCATTGTCTTTCCAGACGGCAAGCCCTTCAACATAATTCTCGATGACGGAGGAGATCTTACCAATCTAGTGCACACCAAGTACCCAGAATATTTGAAAGATTGCAAGGGTATTAGCGAAGAGACTACGACAGGAGTTCACAACCTGTACAAGATGTTCAAAGAGGGTACACTCAAAGTACCTGCTATAAATGTGAATGATTCAGTAACGAAGGCAAGTAGATACTAAAATCATTCAAATATAAAAAATAATGTTTTTGCAGTTATTTGAAATTACAGTAAAATCCCGGTTAGCTTAACTCGGGTCAACTGAAACAGTTCATTAAAAAGATGAACAAACATCAGCATGAGTTTCGTAACTAATAAAACAATTAATTATTGTAATTAGCAAAAAATAACCTACAGAAATTGTTTGTGATTACTTTTTCATACACACACATTTAATTAAGTTAACTCTAGGTTAACTGAAAAATTCGTAATCCAAAACAACCGCCTCCTGAAGGTTAGGTCAGGTGAAGTTTCTGAGGTTATCTGAAGTTTCGCTACTTTAACGAATTTCAAATGAATGATTGTATTCTTCTCCTTTTCAGAGTAAATTTGATAACCTGTATGGCTGCCGAGAATCCCTAATTGATGGAATTAAACGTGCAACTGACGTCATGCTTGCTGGAAAAGTGTGTGTCGTTGCAGGTTACGGCGATGTAGGAAAAGGTTGTGCTCAGTCGTTAAGAGCTTTTGGTGGAAGGGTTATCATAACTGAAATAGATCCAATCAATGCTTTACAAGCTGCTATGGAAGGTTAGTTATATTTCTCAAGAATAACAAATGCACAAAATATTGACCCACTTTTTTCTACCCATAAAATTTATGTTTAAAAAGTAATGTTCTTTTGTCAATGTTTGGACTTGAATTTATTTCATCATCAGGGATATGTCAAACACTGCCATATCATTAGATTAGCGTCAGTATTTTACAGTATATCCATATACATACAGTATATTACATATAGTACAGGGTCCCGCGGCAAAATTACTACATTCATAGCGTAGTTAATCAAACTCAAATTTTTACATACATTTATGAATAGGAAAATACATTTATGACAGGTTGCCAGTGAAAAAGTGGTCACCAATATTTTTATTTGAAAAAGTCAAGCTACTGAAATAATTCATGGAGTAAGAGCTGGGTCAATCCCTCTACAAAAAAGTAATTTTTTTCGTTTTCACCATAAAAAATATTTCATTTAGTTTTGAATGAGTTCTTCCATTATTTGGATGAATGAGGGTTGGTTGAAACAGCGATAAATCCTCTCATGATGAGCAAAGCGAGTACTGAGTTGCGACAATACAATAAAACTCTTACATTTACTCTTCAAACTCCAATCAGAAATGTTATTAATATCCTTTTGCTAATATGTGCAGTCTCGGACTGTTTGGACTGATTTGAAAGGTTTAAAATCATCAGGAAAAAGAAAATCTATATATTTCAGAACTGACGGTAAATCATTGATGAAAATTATGAACAAAAGTGGACCTAGATTCGATCCTTGTGGTATACCTGACCTAGCTGGAAATTTATCTGAAATTTTTCAGTTATGTTTGACAATGAAAAATCATTTTTGAAGATAATTCTCCGTTAGTTCCAATTTTTTTTGAATTTCATATTTACTCAATTATTATGAAATTTGTTTTCAGATTTCTTATATCTTATTGGGTTTCCCCGATATAGCCATTGTAAGTACATACATACATATAGATAGAGCCGAATAAGTTTCAATTCATTGGTGTGGTTCGAAGCACACTCGCTTTTTTTTAATTAAAAATATTTGCGGCCACATTTTGACTGGCACCTTGTCGTAAATGTATTCTCCTATTCACAAATGTATGTAAAAATTTGAGTTTGGTTATCTACGCTATGGACGTAGAGATTCTGCAGCGGGATTCGAGACTAATATAAATTTACTTATCCCTCAATTCATTTGTGAGATACTGAATAACAGCTGAAAAGGTAAGCTAATAAATACATGTGGACTTGCCAATTTTGATTTTTAAAATGATGATATATGCAGACTAGAAAATTTATATGAATCTAGATTATATCCAGATAGATATGAAAATTGCAACCTGGAACTTTGTCATAGTTCTTTCCTTTATGCCGCCAGCTATTCACTGAAATACAGCATTCTCCACGTTTAGGTGCAGTATATTTATATTAAACTAAGCAAAGGCCAAAAATAAAACTAACATCACTTTATGCAAAACTTGTAAAAAAGGGTTTTCAAAATACTCCATTTAGTAATTGTAATTACTGCCCAAGATGGCGGACTAGTTTTTTATGTGAACCCATGTTATGAAAATGTTTTCTGAAAAGAATAAGAAAAATAAAATGTCACTGTAAATCGAATATGGAGAACCACCCCAGTTGGCGGATTAGTTTTTTATGCAACCCAAGGATATGGATGTAAAAATTACTTTATTTAAATTTTCATTACAATTATAGTATAATTATTACAATGTGTTAAAACAACAATAAAAATAAAATAAATACAACAATAAAAATTAATTGGCGCTCCGGGGCGACTTCATTGATAGATAGATAGATAGATCTTTATTTAAAAATAGGTAACCCTAATATACATATATATCCCAATTAAATCAACGGTGTATATATACAACATTAGACAAACACAAAAAAAAGAAATACAATGCAGCAATAATANGGAATAAACTTCCTGAGAATGTTTTACCAAATGGATTTAATATAGATTTTAAACAGATTTCAGCAATTCAAATTCAATGTGAAACACTTCTTTCGCACAACCACCTTTCTTAGAGCGCACTCAGGATTTTCCGGTAGTGCTTGTGTTTTGTTCTTAAGAAGAAAAAATATATTAAACATTTAATATGATATAAAAGCTTTACCTGTGCAGATAAATAGGAAAGAATACAATTGTGATTTGCTTTTGACATAACTAATTCGAATGAAAAATTATATGATGTTTTTTAGAAGTAAATCTTGCAACAAACTTTTGTTTCCCATAAATTGGGTGATGTAAGTTTATGGGTTTAATTTAAAGTTTTTTTTTAGAGCATGTTAGCTTATTTTCAAAAATGTTTTTTACTATTAACCCATAACAGACTGGCGTTGCCATATGACAATGCTTATCTACCTGACATCTATACTGTTTTTTGAAAAGAACATAATCAATTTTTACAGTTTTCTGCTATGGTGCAGTTCACGAATTGTTTACGTTACTTCTAAATATGCGTAGATGATTCTGGCATGCTTCTTTCCCTTAGTGTGATTGAATATTCTAGCGTGTTATATTTGCTGACTGCAAAATGGATATAAACTTCATGTAGGTACAACAAAATATCTTCTGTTATGGTCTATAGTAGCATGCAAATCTAAATAAATGATGATTTTCCATACAAATAGCACTTTTGACTGAAATAATCCGCTAATTAGATATTTAATTGATTCCTAACCTCAGAATTGCCATATGGCAATGCTAGGCTTCACAGGCTGCATGTTTATATGATGTTCCTTTTTGTTGTTAGAGATGGGTTAACTCTGGAAGAAGCATTGCAAATGGCTTATTCAGATGACCTCGATGTTCGAAACATCTTTATAGAACCGCCAGATGTGAATGAATTGACTGATGAAGATTCTGGCGAGGAGGATGAAGGAGGGCTTGTTGACAATTTGTCAAGAAATCAACTGAAGGCATCCGCTCAGTTAGAAGTTTTTCAAAACGATTCCCTCGAAGATGACGAACCAGTTTCTCTCGACGAACATAATGAGGGGAAGCGCGAAAATTTTGTAGAAGGAAACAATCGAGAAGAAACTGTTTTCGCGCAAGCAGAAAAAATTGATTATGACAAAATTGAATGGATCGAAAGTGATCTTATAATGACGGCGAAAGAATTTCCTAAGGGAAATTATGAGAATTTCAAAACTTTCACGCCTGTCGAAATGATCGAACTGTTCTTTGATGACGACATGATTGATTTTTTCTTGGAAGAGACGACAAGATATGCCCTTTTCAAAAATCATCCCAATCCCCAAATAACTCGAGAGGAAATGCGGTGTTTTCTCGCAATCCTAATATTGTTTGGATATAACTGGATGCCAGGCAAAAAATTATTTTGGGATACTGCTGGAGATTTAGGCAACCAATTGGTTATAGAGGCAATGAGAAGAGATCGGTTTTTGACAATTTGGAAATATTTCCATTTAGCAAATAATAATGATATCGATCAATCCGATAAGTACTACAAATTGCGACCACTCATAGAAAAATTGCAAGCCAAATTTATGAAATATTACGTTCCCGAGAGAGATTTGAATTACGATGAATCCATGGTAAAATATTTTGGTGGGCATTCATGTAAACAATTTATAAAGGGAAAACCAATACGTTTTGGGTACAAGGTTTGGTGTATCAATGATACAAGCGGATATCTTGCGAATTTCATGATATATCAAGGAAAGGATCCAAAATATAATGACAATTATAATGCGGTGTTTGGAACTTCTTCTGCACCATTTGTCACCTTATTGAACGAGATGCCTGAGGAGAAACGAAATCTACGATATTTTCTATTTTGTGATAACCTCTTCACTAGTTTCCATCTATTTACTCACCTCAAACAAATGGGATATGATGCAACAGGCACAATTAGAGAAAACCTTATCCCAAAAAGCTGTCCTCTAATTTCGAAAAAAGCTATGATAAAGAAGAACAGGGGAGAAGTCGGTTATGTATTGGATAAGCAAAATGGAATTATATTGGTGAGGTGGGTTGATAACAATGTGGTAACTGTTGCACTACTTCTGATGGAGTATCTCCAATGGGCAGCGTCAAACGATATTCCAAGGTAGAAAAGAAAAACATCAACATCCGAAGACCTTGTGTGATTGAAAAATACAATTCATCAATGGGTGGCACAGACTTGATGGATGAGAATATTTCCCGTTATAGAATTGGATTACGATCAAAAAAATGGTGGTGGTGTCTCTTCACCTGGTTAATAGATGCTACTTTACAAAACGCTTGGATTTTACATAAGAAAGCAGGAAATAATTTGACTTATCTGCAATTCAGGAGAGAGATTGTCAAAGCATACCTCATAAAATATCGCAATCCTCGGAAACCTGGTGGCAGGCCATCAAGCAGTGCATCAAGTAGATCTTTTAGCCGTATTTCTGATGACATAAGATTTGATAATGTGGGACATTATCTGACTTCTGTACCAAATAATAAGAAAAAAAAATGTGCTAGTGAACAATGCAAGTCAATTATGAGAACAATGTGTATCAAATGTGGCGTAGGGCTTTGCCTAAAATGCAATTTATTGTTCCATACCCGTTTGTAAATCTTCCTGACAATTCTGACATTTTTTCAATAAAAACATTTCATTCAAGTCGTTATTTTACTAATTCTGCACCAGAAGACCACATCCACCCATTGCAATGCCTAGCATTGCCATATGGCAACCAGCAATATTTTGAAGAAAAATGCATATTTCAATAATTGGTTGTTATTTTCTTAATCACTAGAATTAATTGAAGCACTTTCACTTGAAATTATCATTTTTTTGAAAAACAAAAAAAGTCCGTCCCTGATGGGTTAATTTATTTTTGAACACAAATGACAAATCCAGTCAAAAAATGTATAGAACAATTTTTATTAACTATTTCCATGTCTACATAATGTAACATTCAAATTTTATAATTCATTTATTATTTTATCATTCCAAAAATTTCAATTAATTTGAGAATTTTCTTGGTTAGTGTGAAGTTGAAATTTCTTATAATTGATATATTGTGAAAGCAAAGTTAATTATTATAATAAAGTATAAACGTAAAACCCAAAAAATGTTGTTTGAAGTTGAAAACGCATAGCAATTCTATAGATTCTTTCACATGGATGCATTAATCTAAAAATCATTTTTTGAGGTTGTGATAAAATCTTTTTTTGAGACTCTTTTTTATACAAACTATTGGAATGTGTACTTTCAACAAGCAATATTTTTGCAGGTTACGAAGTTACCACGATGGATGAAGCTTGCAAAGAAGGTCAAATTTACGTGACAACAACTGGCTGCAAAGATATCATTCTTGGCCATCACTTCCTCGCCATGAGAGATGATAGCATAGTTTGCAACATAGGCCACTTTGACTGTGAAATCGATGTATCATGGTTAGAGAAAAATGCCAAAGAAAAAGTCAACATCAAACCCCAAGTCGACAGGTACCTGCTGTCTTCTGGAAACCACGTCATCGTCCTTGCAGAGGGTCGCTTAGTAAACCTTGGCTGTGCTACGGGCCACTCTTCGTTCGTGATGTCGAATTCTTTCACAAACCAAGTCCTAGCGCAGATTGAATTATGGACAAAGCCTGGAGCTTATCCCGTAGGTGTGCATATGTTGCCGAAGCACCTGGACGAAGAAGTAGCCAGGCTCCACCTGGATCATTTGGGCGTTAAGTTAACCAAATTGACTCTTGAGCAGTCGAAATATTTGGGTGTTCCTCAAAACGGCCCCTTCAAACCCGATCATTACCGGTACTAATAAGGGGTTTTTTGAGGATTTTTAAATTCGTACTTAGCCCTTTTACTTATTTTTAATTTCTCTTAAACAATTTTTGTAAGGTAACTAGATCTGTAGGGCGTACAGTTGATTTTTAATAAAGTGTTGAATACTTTTAAGCATTTTTATTTAAATTACTGGGGAAAAAAGAAAAAGCACAATAACTTCACCTTCAGAAAGGTTGAAATATTTTAGTTATTTAAGATTTCGTTTTATTCATCCACTGTATTCTTCGGATTTGTCTCCATTTAATATTCATTTCCAGACTTGAAAAAATAGTTCGGTGGTAAGCAATTTGAGTCGAGGAAAGATCTCCAGATGTCATTAATAAAACTATTTTTCACGAAAAATGTGTTCTCTTTCCTGGACCAATTACTTATCAACTCAGCTATGTACTTTTATGTGTATATAGATTCTCAATAGTATGTAGTACGTTTGATAAAAATCGACAACTTCATTAGATAGCTCAAATTACGACAACACTTTTTACTTCAATCTAATTTGCGAATTACTAAACTATTACATCCCCGCCATTGAAAGACTGATCAATGAAGGTATAACAAGTTCCCCCACGTTCCATTTAGTGTGTAATGAGATACCAAAAATGAGACTGATTAGTGCTACCTTCATTCTAAAATCTGAATAGTGAAGGCTTTGAGACCAATCAGTCTAGTGTCATTTGTATAAAGACATTAGGAAAACTACTTGACAGGCATATTATAAACAGTCCTGGCTACTAACCACTGCATTGAGACAATTATGCATAAAGATCAGCTATGACAGAAACAGGAAGTGTTTTATCTGCTTTCTTGGATATAGAAGATGCATTTGATAAGACGTTCCTAGGAGAAGGAGGAACGATGACAAAAGCTGCAGGGGGACAGATTGCATGCTCAGAGGAAGATTAGTATACACAACCATAATCGGAGAAACAATAGTGGCACGGTTAGCAAACGGTTCCCCTCGAGGGGATTTGTCCCCACTATTATGGTACATTGAAATGGACAAGCTACTGTGTCTTTTAGACCATAATGGACACGAACTCCTGGGATATACAGATGACTTAATCATTTTAGCCTAGACCAAATATAATAAAATAGTGAAGGGACACATACAGCAACTGAAGAATGTTATAACCTGTTGGATCGATGAAGAGGGGCTGAATTTAAGCTCAACAAAATAGATCATGGTAGCCTTCACAAAGAGAACCAAGACAATGGGCCTAGGACCTATAAAACTTCTTGTAATAATAGAAGAAGCAAGGATGGACCAGTTCAAATTGGAAAACTAACATGAACCAAAACGGAAATTTTGAAATTTGTATATCATCCCGAGAAGATAATCAACAGAAACACCCGGATCACTGGTGTTTCTGCTGGGGAATCATCATTTCAGTTACCCACGTATGAATCAGTCTTTGAGGCTCAAGTATATGCAATGTGCAAGAAACATTGAGACCTCAGTGAACTAGAACCAGGATGCACTCGACACTGATATCTCCAAAACTGACAAAGACTGGTCTGTGAATGTTTTGAAGAACTGAGGTAACCGGTGGATGGTAATAGATTGACTCCTCACTGGTGCCAGGACATTCAGGTATCACAGGAAACGAAAAAGTCAATGAATCTGCCAGACACGTCATTAACTCCATTTGTTAACCAGCTGTAGGAGTACCAAAGTTTTTGGTACTAAACTAGATTTGGAAGTGGGTCTATAATGAACATAAAGATGAAAAAGAAAACTTCCAGGGGGACAAATCAGGGATCAACTCTCTACTAGTCACTGGAGGCTGTCTATTGACATGACACCTGAACAAAATAGTACATCGGAGACCTTAGTTGCAGGCAATGTAATGTTACGTTTTTCTCCGTGGGTTAACAAATAATTGACTACACTGAACAATAATCACACTTAACTTTATTTCACTTTGAATACAACAAACACTTCAAAGTGAAACTTCAATTATTATTCGAATGTCTATCGCCTTACTAGATCGCTCCGCGTACCACACTGTAACTTCCACTTGACTGTCTCGATGGGCGAGTGAATGGTGTTAAATTTGGCAATCGAAAGCGCTGGAACATTCCTTGGAATTCCATCGAAGCCGGTAGCATTATTCTCGCTACATCTAGGACGGCAGCGAACATTCGCTTCTTAGCTACGTCACAATTGGTTTATGCTTATTTTCTTTAGGGCATGATTTACAACAGTAATAAAGGGACAGAGACTTGAAAGAAATGGACAAGTCTAAGGGCTGCCAAGTAGTAGAAAGAAAAAAAAAGAACGAGAGACTAGAAGAAAATAATCAATTTATTATCTTAAATCCTACAACCACAAAATTCTTGATCCCAAACTTATTAACCTCTAGTTTGGGGTTATGAGTTATTGAATTTGGCATTTGAAGATTGGATCAAAATATTCAAAATGGATTTTGAAGGGTGGTTATTTAATAGTTAAGTAGTAAGTCACAGATTATTTAGTTCGAAGACTACATCAGAGTTCAGACAAGTGACGGAGGTTAAAAGTGGAAGTGAATTAATAGACTAATTTTAAAGTGTAATTGATGAGGTAATTGAAGTAAGTAGTGTAAGTTTGAATCGTAACTTTTTTTTGTGGAAAAAATTATTTTATTGGCGTGTGGATGGCAAAATCCCCCCAAAAAAGGTTGTTAGAGAAGTGTTGTTGTAATTTGAGTAAATTAATTATTTGATTTTTATCATTCATACTATTGAAATTAAGAACCCATATAGACGTACAAGGCTGGACTGATAAGTGATCCGCATAGCCAAGAGAACACAATTTTATTGGCAAAATTAGTTTAATTTAATTTCTTTTATATCCTCCCAATGATGAATTTGGGAGTCCTCAGAACACGCTTGTTACATTTTGATTATATAAAAGTTAAATTTCCCAAAAATAAATAAAAATATTGTGTTTTTAGGATTCCTCTTAATCACTGTTTCGCAGAAAAAATTCAATATCCCTATTTAAAAAGAAACACTGAAGACAAGATATGAGAATTAATACTGGTTAGGTAAGGTGTGATGTAAAATCGAAACAATATCTGGTTCAAAAGTTTTAATCACATAAACAAGAGAAAATGGTAAATTTAAATTATAGGTACATGAGATATAAATAATCAAGGAATGACAACTACCAATAGACCTAGTGCAATAGATCAACAAAATTACTGATTGTATATGATAAATAACAAATGCAATCATCTCAAAACAGTACCGAAAAAAATTTAATACTTATTCAGCACCTACAACAAAACTAACGAGTAAAACTGGCACTATGTGCGTTTTTCATATGGTGGAAATATGCATTTACATAAATTGTTCTGTAATATCAATATCAAAGAACTTCAATGAATCAATCAGTTCAAAAAAATAACAATGCCCTGCATTAGTACAAACTTTGGTTGACATTTGTGTAAACAAGTTGTAAACTCAACACTCGAAAAAAGTTGCTGCAACTCATTAGAAAGTAGTTTCAAAATTGGATTTATAAAACTCATCGCAAGCAACATTACTGTTCAATTTAGAAAAGTACACAAAACCCTAGTAATATTGCTTATAATATATCAAATATTCCATTGATTTTTTCACCAATAAATTACTCATTGATAAAATTCATGTTTGAAAAGTCTTATTCAAAATCACAAAGAAAGTATTGTTGTGATAAGAGTAATCTTATTGAAAAATCCACAAACTTTCTTGATTTTATAGACAAATCCAAATATGAAACCACTTGTTATCAAAACATAGACACTGTTCTGAAAACACCCTAACCTCCTCAAAGAATTTCACATGAAGATCAATGATGAAAGGTGTGATTTGGCTTAGAATTATATAAGAAAATAATAGTCAACATACGAATCATGACTAGTCACATGACACTTTAACAATTTACTATTTCTGTAGATCACTATCTGCTTTAATTACCACATGTGCGTTTCACGTATTTCACTTATTATGTGAGAAGCTCTTTGGAGGGCCTGGAAAACAAAAACAAATACTTAAGAAAAAAACGCTAGTACCTACAATTACAATACAAACAATTACAATACTACAGGGATATATGATGGAATCGGCCGATATTTGATGAAAATCCATAATGTATTCAAGAAACACTTTATAGTGAACAGTTTTACAAAAAAGCAACACATATTTCGCTATACAATAGCTTCTATGAAGTGATTATAGACTCTAAACACACCCAAAGAAGCTATTGTATAGCGAAACACGTGTTGCGTTTTTGTAAAACTGTTTAGTAGTGAAAATCTCACAATGGGGTGTTTCTTGATTACTACAACGATTTTCAATCTAGATGTTGAAGTCTAATCTACTCAAGAAACTAGTGATAATTGAATAGAACTGTTTTAGAAATCGTTTTATGATTCCAAATAATTCTCGTTAATTTGTTGCAACTCCACATGTGACAAAGGTGTTGAAGGAATTCCTGTGTGATCATTCTTTATTGTTTACAAATTTCACCGGTTCAAGCTGAGATTGTTGTTCGTGCATGATATTTATTGAAATAATGCTTTTCTAGTTTTATTCGGATTTTATACATATGTTCAATGTTATGGAATGATCCATGTGTGATAATTTTTCTTTCAAAATGAATTTTATCAAGATGTAGTCAGTAAAGCCATTATGCCTTTGGGCAAGTAGATTCCCTATTATGAAGTTATCACTGTGTCAATATAAAAAAGTGCAATTTTCTAATAATTTGTAATTTTGTATTTCTTAAATGAAAAAACTAGAATTTTATTTAATTACTAGAGTCAAAATGTTGTTTTAATATTTCTATTATCCTTTTCAATTGTTTGTTTAATAAAACTTCCTTGTATTCAAAGTGCAGTGTACTTCTTGTCAACTTCCAGTGCTTCAAAATGTTGCAACAAATATTTTTTCCAGAATCGATTCGACAATTCAATGAACATAATATCATCTTTCAAAAAGCAATAAAGAAGCTCTCTTTCTGAAACGAGCATCTGAAGCTTAACCTTAATTTTTATGTAACCATTACAATACTCTCTTGTACTGTTTCTTTTTCACAATGCCAAGTGTTCATATTTTATATGCATTATAATAAAAAAAATCTTTCTTTCCGAGTTTATAATTAAGATTAGCAGATTCCTCTCAGAAACGTGTTGTTTTCAGTCATTGTATTTTCTTTTGATAAAATGAATATTTTATGTAATTAATATTTGAATTTAAAATGAACTTATCAATTATATATTCAATTAAAACATCACATCTACTTCGGAAGCTTCCATAAATATACGAAACTTCACATATTTTTGTTTTCATCATCACGCAATTAATTAAATTGTGCGCGCCACAATCGGTGAAGGGGAAGTCACAGTCTACCGCAGGTCTATTCTCTCTCTGTAACCCGCGCTCCCTCGAGTCTAGCGACTTCAACACAATCTGTGTCTTAGATATTGGTTTGCTGAATCCATTAATTTTTTTAAGTCTACATTAGTTGGGGCAAATTCAAATATAATTTGTAATTACCTAGTTACGTCTCATGAATGTTAAAAAAACAATAATCGAATACTTGAAATTCACTCTTACCTTCAACATGTCGCTTGCTTCTCTACGTCTCTGAGCAATATGTTCAGATTCATCCAACAGCTTATCGGCATTGTCAGCTTTATAGAGGTGTGTCACTAGCTCAGACTGCAAGTTGTCTTTCACGTAATTAACTAAGAAATGCATCACCGCCTTGGGTACTGTGTCCTGAATGGACTTCTTCACAATGTAGAAATAAGATTTTATTAAACGTTCTGGAAACAAAACGCTCAGTTGATTGAAAGTTTTTCAATCTCCACCTGAATGAAAATGTACCCTAAATAATAAAAGTAATCCTCACCAATGATTTCACAGTCATGTTCCTCGTTTTCAGACAATTTTCTGCTGGTGTTTATGGGTACTTCCGGAAGCAAATTAACTGGTTTCTGAGGACTCAAAACGGACCTTAATTCAGCCTCGTTTTTAATTTCCGCCACAGAATTTGCATGGTTGAGATCATTTTCGACACCATTATGAGGATGATTAGGCATCCATGAATTCGGTTCGGTTTTCACTTGAGGATTATGAGTGGATCGCGTCTGAAATTCACAAAATTAAATAGTTATTTGATTATCACTCCCGAGAAAAACATAAATCACCAATTCGATTAAGGTGCAATGGTTTAATAATCTATATAAGAGGAGCAAATCTTTGATTTTGTTTTAAAAAATGACATAAATTATGATGCACCATAGGAATTGGTTATAGAACCAATATTATTTCTTATGTAAATAAATTCAATATCTAAACTGAATTGATCTATATGTTTAAATCTGTTTAAAATCTGTTTTTCCGTAGTTATGGAACCAATATTATTTCTTATGTAAATAAATTCAATATCTAAACTGAATTGATCTATATGTTTAAATCTGTTTAAAATCTGTTTTTCCGTTAATCAGCTGTCGCCCCCATACGAACGACAACTCCCAGAAGTTGAGAAACTTGTGCGAGCTAAGGAATAACGAGGTCTTGCCTTTTAACTTGTGATTCCTAACACGGAATTACACGGAATGATACAAGATTCTACAAATTTCGAAAAGTAGTGAAAATGTTGCGAGTGAAATTGAATGTGATCAAGTTATTGGCACCTGAATCAAGTAAGTTTGATAATTATCAATTATCATTGAAGTTTTCACAGCAAGGCAACTAGATGAACAGTGCCGTCTGATAACATCAGACGGCACTGTTTCGACCAGCCAAGGTCTCATCAGTGGTGCTAGGCTGAACGACTAATAAGACTTGGCGAGTCGAAACAGCCGATTCCAATGCTTTACCACTCGTCAATGCAGAAAAGATCCACTCCGAACAACAATGTGCAACAGAGAATAGAGTGACTCTGTTTGCTGATGTTCCTGAATTTTCTCTGTTCACCCTCACATACTGCTTCAATTATTAACATTCGTTTTTCCTAATTTTTGAATTGGTCTTTCCCCAGTTGAAGAGGTAAAATCGAGATCTCAACATATTTGACAATATTTTGTATGATATTTGCGAACTGTGACCGCCAAAATCTCATTATTTCTTGAATATTGTGTGTACTGAACACATGTTGTATTGTCAGCACTTCATTGCACAAATGGCGACAATTTCAAATCTTGCATTATTTTTGAGTCAGACACCCTTCACTACAAAAAGATTATCCCTTCACTACAAAAAGATTATACTATTTCAAAGACTACTCAAAATCATATTAAGTTGAAGCATTTGAAAATAATCACTTTCAATTCAATACATTGAAAATAACACCTAGTAATTTTAGTTTGAGGTAACGTATTTGAAAACACTAAAAATGGTAACTCCCATATGTCAATCATTGTTAAATCAAATAATTCCAGAAAACTTACCAAGCTGAATGAAATATTCAAAACGAAAATACGTTTGATTTTGAATGGATTTGAGATCAACTTTTGAATATCAAATTCAGAAAAAGTATCAAAAACCTAATTTTTTGATAGCTATGAAAATAGATGAATAAACTATATATGCAATGGATTTGAGATCAACTTTTGAATATCAAATTCAGAAAAAGTATCAAAAACCTGATTTTTTGATAGCTATGAAAATAGATGAATAAACTATATATGCACATTCATTTGTTTATAATTGTCAGTTCACTCCCAGTCTCACATTGAAGTGTTTTACAACACAAAAGCAGATGTTATAAAAACAAATTTGTTACAGCCAACACGAATTAAACTAATGTTAGTCAAACGATGAATCCACCTGTACTTTTTCAACACATTCAAATTACGTATTAATTTGAAATACCTGAACAGCTCTCATGAAATCATAGCTAGCTGCAGGCATAATTCGAAAAAGATAGTTAAAGAAATCATCCTGTTCCTGGGATGAGCTTAAAGGAGCTGGAACATTTTGTGGCATCTACAATAAAAATGCAAAATTTGTCGATACTCTATACATACAAAACAAAGATTTTTATGTGGACGATGTTAGAAGAAAAGATGATTTGGTAACCTCTTGGCAAAGAAAGGTATAGAAACCTACGTTCGATATTTTTTTAACCACGATTATTGTTGAAACATTTCTTTGATTTGGATTATTATTGAACAATTTCAGATGTAGAGTTTCACAAAACAAATGTTTCAAAAAATAAAGGGCCTTCAGACAATTTTTCAAGAAAAAAGAGAATGTGAGTTGTTCCAACATTTCCATAGCTTTTGAGTTGAGAAATAGGAGACCTCCATGAAAGGGAAACACTAGAAAAAAAATTCCAATAGTTGTACTAATTTTTATAATAAAGCATCTTAGCATGTGGGAAACCTTTAAACTTCCTGAATATGGTCACCAAAAAGAGAAGAAATCATATACAGTTTTCTTCAGGAGAAGTGAATAGATAATATTGAAATTAAGTAGAAAATCACAAACAGCGATATGAATTCAGTACCTAGAAAATTGTCCAACAACAATACGAAGCAAAAAAAAAAACATATTCCACTACAACTTAGAATAAGTAGATATCAAGAAGCTTTTCAATTGAGCAGTGGAAAAGCATGTACCAGAAAAGTTGAAAAGGGGCATTCAACAAGTTAATCTTGATCCCAAACACCAATATACATGAGTAACACAGTTTTTCCTTTCAAATTCAATACATTTATGAAGAAAAAAGTCAAATTCTGTTGAGTTTGAATAGGTTTTGTTGAATTTCGTGCAAGTTTTCTAATCTGAATTGAATGTTTGGACCACCTAACCTCTTTTCATTAAAAAAAAAAAGATTAACAAAGCTATAACAGAAAAATCAAACTTGGCGTAAGATTTTTGTCTTGGCAGCTTGTATTTTGTTTTGAAATCTACTAGTCGATTTACCACTACCAAAGAATTCATTGTTGTGTACTAAAAACAAACATCTTATGAGTAGAAACTAACTGATTACCCTTACACAAACTAGCATCTTGAAACTGTGGCAGGACATCTCTATCACTATGCTATTCCCCATGCTATTTCTGTTCCTTCAGATTAGTTGATTAAAATTCTCAATATTAGTTGAAAAGATTAGAAGCGTTTTTCATAAAATTATATTTCAGAAAAATTTCGACAGTCCAAACTTTTCACGTCACAATTTCCATTTCTTTTTGCTGTTTCAATTTCCCTCACATAGGACATTTAGAGTTGACAAGAGAATTCAGTTTCATCACTTTTCAAGAATACCATAATCCTAAATCATGACCCCGAAAATAGCAGTCCTAGTGGGTGAAGTCAGGGAACAAAAAAAGAGAAAAATTAATTTGACATTTTAAGCTTTTGAATGACCAATTATTTGAGCTTATGATGAAAATTAGCAACACTATTCATAATAATAACATAACTTTCACACTAGGAATTTTATACAAGACAGGTTTTGTTACACGATTGCTCTATCAGTTGAACTGCTGTGTACCAGTCTAACAAATGAAGCCACCTCGTAGTAAAACATGTCTCAAATGAAAGGTATGTGTGGAAATTACATAATCATTGTTTTGGTTGGTTTCCGGGTTTTGCTGTGGTTGTCTTTGGTTATAAACTCCAAATGTTTTGACTGCAAAGAAAACCGCAGCAAAACCGGGAAACCAACCAAAACATTGATGCCAGCCATGAAAACCGACATTGCTATATACATAATCATTATCATGGATAGAATTATTTGAGTGGTTGTTTGAGAGTTGATATCATGGTGTATAAGGATTCAACATCAACTATTTTTTATTGATTTTAGCAATAGCATCAGGAAAAAAGGCTGGTTAATATTTATAAATACTACACAATTTAAGTCAGTAAAGTTATGTTTGTTTATCCATCTAATAAATATATTTCCTTCTATATTGTGATGAAAATTTTTTTTTGTCAGATACATATTTTCAATTTAAACAATTCACTTTACTGAAGTGTTATAGCCAATTTCTCTTCTGGAGATATCGATCCATATTTTTTTTAACAATGAAGGCGCTAACAATTTCACTAAATGTTCAAAACATATTTTGTTCATTCTTCTGTACACAAAAAATGAATCCTCATCATTTTTCATTCTTTTAAATACCTGAAATTGTCCCTGAGTCTTTCTGCTTCTCAGAATGGGTCTAACAATAAAACTCCTCCTTTTTCGTTTCTTTCTCTTGAGTAAAAGATACACACTTACTATTGACACGATCACGGCCATTTTTATATTTATATCCCTCAAAAGAAAAATCAAATTTCACAATGTGACTTTTAAATTTATCTGGTGACATTATCTTTACACCATTCGGATATATCTGTAAAAGTTCGTAGTATGGCGCTTTCTGATTGGTCGGAGGTAAGAACGCTACGCAGAAAGTTGAAAATAGCCAACTTGTTACCTTGCGTTACCTTGCCTTACCGACGTTACCTTACCTTACTTTTTATCTAGAACGCATGTGTGTTTTCCCAATGCTTCAACTTTCTTACCTTACCTTACCTCATTACCTTCCGTTTTTATAAACTAGGGGTTATAAAATAACAGGAATACGATATGGGAAAATAAAATCGTTATTATTATGTCTTGAAAAAACAACAACAATGAACTACAGTCAAATGTGAAATTGGTTACAGAAAGAACACATTGAAAAATAATTCAAGTATAATAGAAAAAAACTGCAAACTATGAAATTCCACTAATTAGATTTTTTTTCAATTGATATTTGAATTTTGTAATGGAATAGTGCTTCTTTATTTTCTCTGGAATTGAATTATATATAATTATCCATAGTTTTGAATTAGTTAGTTCACTTTAGTTCTTCACATTGCAACCGCTACCTATATGTCAAATCTGGTTCTTCTGGAACTAACTAATGTGATGGGTAATAAGTCGAAAGACAAAAAAAAAATCATTAATTCAATGTAACGTAGCAGAACATACTTTGGAGTAATTCTTGGGAATAATTCATCGACCATAATAATAAAGAAATATAATTATAGAAAACCCATTCAATAACAAAATAAAAAACAAAATGATACGATACCTTACTTACCACTTCCTGTACGTCGGGCTGGTATTTTCCATACATACTCTTGGGTCGGCTTGGTCTAGATCCGTCGCCGGATTTGATCATTGAGGGAACCATTGAGATTTCTTTATAGAAGTCAGGATGCTTCGTGTTTATGTACGCCAATTCTATGGCTACAAGATTCTCCACCATAACATTAGTGGTTGGTAACCGGCGCCTCAAAAGTTGAGTAACAACATCAACAATTTTCTCATACAATCTTGGGAAACGCATCATTTCTTGTTGTACCTCGTTACCACAATGCTATAAGAATGGAGGGGTGAAAATTTTGTTTTCCAAATAACACAATTATATTTAATAAAAAAACAAATATCTTAGAAACATAAAACAACATATACTATTGAATCCATTCAAGACAAATAAAAAAAAATTTGAATTATACTTGTAGAAAGAAATTCATTCTTTTATTGAAAATACCATATATACTAATATTTCATAATAGTCATTGTATTCATAGAATGGTCCAATTAAAAAAGTTTAAATATGAAGAAAATTCCAAGTACATAAAATAAATTAGCCTTTTTAATATAATTTCTCATTTATTCCCACTATTTATTATTATTATACCTCTACGCTAGGTGCTAACCACAAAATGTTTCATATAGTTTCCAAAATGTCAGATGAGTACCCTATAAAAGGTTAGGCAAAGTTATCAAAAACAACAAGTTACTGATAAACTGAACATGCTTCATTGAGGCAAATACATAACCTATAAAAGTCTTAGCTCTTTTTTTCAATAGACAAAATTAATTCATTCGACAACTTACTGAAAAACATAACATTTTACTTTTGACAAAACTATATTGAATTAATGGAGTGGGGTGGAACATGTCTTTAATTCATATTATATCTCGAAAACAGGTTAAATTTTCAAGACTTCATTTGATATTTCAGAGAGAAATTTCATTATAAATGAATAATCTAAGTCAAATCGACATTGACGTGATAGAACAAAACATGAGTCACTAAATGTTCCATTTGATAAAAATGAGGGTTGAATGTTTGTGTTTGTTTTCTCCCCAAGAGCAAAAAGTTAAATCTGAATTTATGAAAATTCTGAGACTTCAAAGTAAGAATTTAAATAAATTCAGAGTCTACAGTTCGAAATTAATAAAATTGTCATTACTGAATTCAGACTTTCATCTTGAAATTTTGATAAACCCCAAGTTTGAAAAAATTTTGTAACCATTTAAGGCCTTCGCAGGCTTCAAAAATTTATTTAGTTTAACGATGATCATCAAATTATATTTATCTGAATGTTAATCTTTTCTTATTATCAAAAGTTGTTATTGATTTTTACTTGAACATTTTTAATAACTTTCTTATATACTTATATACCTTATACCTATGTGTGGAAGTTTTGTACTAAATAAATAAATAAATAAATAATTTCCTACCTGTATAATTCTTTGCATTTCTTCATGAATCAGTTCCACACATCGTAAAGATGGCTCTTCCAGTCTTCTAATTTGTCTTTTGACTAATAACTCAAAGGACACTTCAGGTACAAACAGAGCTGGGCGAGGGCCATTTGCATTCCTATAATACGTTGTGATTGAAATAGTAAATTTTCTAAATAATCCAACAAATTCACATTACCTGATAGCGGTGAGAATATCAATTTTGTGCAATCCAGATAAAGGATGTATCGAGTCCAAAGTCCTTCCAAATGTTTCGTGGAAAATGTAACATATTCTAGCACCCCCACACAATTCTGTCGTCTCAATGTTCCTAGAAGTACCTTCAATAGTCGAGCAATATGCAGATGCAAACTTTGTTATAATCTGCAGCAAAGTTTTGCTTTTGTCCGATATATCTTCACCATAAGAGCTCAGTAGAGAATGGTACTGAGACATCATCAGGTTGACCCGGGTCTAAAAATTTAAATTTGGATACGGATTATAATATATTCAAGAAACACTTTATTGTATAACGAAACACCAGTTGCGTTTTTGTGAAACTGTTCAGTTAAAATCTCACAATAAACTGTTGAATACGTTGTGGATTTGGCCAAAATCGACGAAAACAAATAAGAAAGATAAGATAGGGAATGCTATGAATGAAAATGAAGAATAAAATATCTATACTAGTGAAAAGATTTGCAAAAATACTCTCGAAAACTATGAATAGTGACTGTTCGATAAGAACTGTATTTACCGTATGTGGGCTGGTTGTTGGATATTTAAGAAAAAAACAATTCAGAAAATAATGATGGACGACACCAACCTCATTTATTTCCGGAAAATCTCTTTGCCCTCTGGTTTCACTTCCTAATATTTAATCGTGGGATACCCTGTTAGCGCGATCTTGAAGGAATCTTGAAGGACGATGTTTTAGCAGTAGATATTTATAATTTTTACTTGACAAAACATTTAGTTGAACACACATCTTTTCTCCGTCTTTTTCATTCACGACTGTCCGTCCGGCCTCCGCGCGTGCGCATAAGGCCGGTGTAACCAGTGATGAAATGTTAACAATAATTTATCACTGATTTCCTAATAATTGGTATATTATTGATACTGTAGTCATGTAGTGAGTAATAAACTATTAGTGTGAGTGATAAACTATTAGTGAGTGATAAACTATGTTTGCAATATGCAAACCTAATTCATAGGAAACTACTCTCACACCATGACATTCTGAGAAAATGTTACTCTCAAGTTTTCAATATGTTCATCAAATTCCCCAATATTCTGGTATCACCTGTGAAAATCGTGAAACTACCAGATCCAGATCCTGACTTTGATAATTTCATTTTGGGAGCTTGCTTCATAAATATAAAAATTTGTGACCAAAATAAGTAATACTTGTTTAGAAAAAAATCTGACTCTTTCACTACCTGATTCATTGCTAAAGAAACAGTTTTTAATATAACTAGAAAGAGATATTTTTAGGAGAGATTAATTTTTGGGAAATAAAGGTTTTGGCTTTCTACTGAATACAGAAAAGTGTATTTTGTATAATTCAGTGTTCATATGAAAGTAGTTGTTCTGAAAGTATTTTCTTTTGTGTAATTCAATGTTTATGTGAAAGTAGCAATTTCGAGTGGGCTTTTTCTTTCGGGGAATGTCGGGAAGTTACTTCTTTGCATGATCTACACATCTTTGTAAAGAGTTGATTTTTTTCAATTGCTTGCTCTCTTCCTTTTTTAGGAAGATTCCTACATATTTTTTTTTTATATAAAGAAGTGTAGAAAGCCAAAACAATTCTTTCCCAAATCTTCAATATATCAGACCATACAATTGTATACTCACTTGCCAAACCAAATAACAGTTATCAAAGATCTGAAGCAATGCAGAAAGTCTGTCAAGGATGTTCTGGCAGGAAAAATCCTCAACAGTATTAAGGAATATTTTTCATTTGAATTTTCACATTTCCATGATATTTCTCAACTGACATTTTTTTCAACTCTGATTTGTGTACACCTGTTTTCAAGTTTTAGTTGAGAATGTTATTTTTTATTGAATTTTTGTATTTTTAGGAAGTAACTCTTTGTTCAATGTGCGTATACTATTTATATAATTGTATTGACTTTTTCAACAAAATCTTACCACTTTAGACAATGAAGCATAGCTTACCTATCTATCTTGATTCACTCACCTTGAGATCTGGTAAACAATCTCTAATATGGTGCATCAACAGCCTATTCAAAGTCTTCGCTAGATAAGGTGTACCGTTTCTCGCTGCAAGAGTGGGGTACTTGCTTTGCAGAAACGTGGCTTCATCTTTCAATGAGTCTTTGATAGTTTTATTGTTCATAATATCTTGCTGGGATCTGTTTACCACTCCAATAATTCCCAGTTTGACAGGAATCACTCTACCGCACAGAATATCAATGGCATCAGTACCTGAAATTATTCAAAAATTGAATGAAACTGGCCGATACTTGAAAGATAAATTATTGCATAGGTCATAATGCCTTTGTCATGTATTTATATAATATTCTACTAGAGATATATAAACAATCATTGACATTCAAGACTCAGAATGATATACATGAATATAAAACGAGATATGCTACACGAGTGAAAAATCCTTGATTTAGACTGATGTTCAAATTTTTATATTTTCAACTCATTTTTAGATAGTTTAAAAAAACTCAGTTACAATGACTTAGGGTTATCTCATAAACTAATATTGTAACTAATATTGTAACTGCATTAGCTTGTGCTAAATAAACGATACATATAAAAGTAAAATTATGATTACTTTGTTTTTATGTTTTTCTTTATTATATGTACACCAATCAATATTATAAAATTATATATTATCTTTTCAATTTTCGGTAATGTTCTGTAGAAAAATCTGATAGTACTCTCTACCAAACATTTTTTTGACATGCCATGACAATCAATCATTCTAAGAAACATAAATGGTTACAAAACATAATATAACACAACTTAATTTGAAAAAAGAAAAGGGTTGATACTTGTTTTTTCATTTTTTAACTGATTTTTCAGAAATAGCATTCAAAGTAATTGGAAGTTCTCATAAATAATAACCTCATTATGTAAAATTGATTGCTTCCATAATTTGTATTGACTTTATTGGTAATACGATTTTTTTGTTTTCCTAGTATGGTTATTCATTCTAATCCTAAGTTATACTCTAAAAGTATCCAATCCAATAGTTTATTCCAATATTTATTCATAGTAATGAATTTAGAAAACAAACTATGATTACCAAGAACAAATTTACCAAAGATTTTAAATTGCAGAAAGGGCACCTCACAAAAGTTTTGCCTAGATCAACAAAACTTCTTGTGCAGACCCTGACTATTTACCTGCATCCATCAAGTCCAATTTGGTAACTACAGCTAGGGTTCTCCGACCGTCTGGGTCGACATCTTTTGCAATAGCTAAACTTTCTGAAGTAGCCATGTCAGTATTAGCTGTCACCACAGCCAAAATTATAGAATTTGGATTGGCAATATATTTCAACACCAATTCTCTAATTTGTTGTTCTATATCAGGAGGTTGATCTCCTACAGGAACCTGGAATTGAAGTAATTCATTATTAAGAAGATTTTAGCTCTGAACAAAAAAAGAAAGATTTGTTTATAAATAAATATTTCTTGGATCTGGAAGACATACATGTTGACATAGAACAAGTCTATGGNTGTTATATTTTTACTTGTAGTTTACTTCACTATTTCATTTCAGGTTTATTTTGCTTAATATAATTGTTATTTTCAGCTATTCATTTTTAATTCTTCTTTTTTAGTTGTTTCAGGGATTTCAAATCATTTTATATAGTAGACAATGGAAGTCCGAACTAGTGAAATTCATCATGAAACATTGTCAATCACCTTCAAAAAAATTTCAACAAGGGTCATATTAATAACTCTTCGATAGAGTAGCAGGCTTTGTCCCATAAAAATGGAACTTATTTAGATCTGGCCAGACTGTGAATTGGTATATCTAGCAGGGAAAAGTTGATATTTCACTGATATCACCTTGTTTCGTACAACCGTCTTGTGATTTTGAAAGTAAACTAAAGTAACTAAATCTGAAGAAAGTGATTCTGCTCATACATCATTCAAAGTTCCATTTAGAATTCATATCTTATGAAAGGTAAAGATCAATAATTACAATTCAATTTGCAATTCTAGTCACCTGCAGAAATGTCTCAAGGATCTGTATTTGGGCTCTTTTGAAAATAACAAAAATAGATTTGACCTTTCTCTTTACAGATTTGAAACTACAAATAAAAAAGGCAATTTGAAATTATTCATTTCATTATTCCTCACAAATTCTATAGAGTATGAGTTTTCTTTGAAAATTTCATTCAGAAAAGTTGAATGAAAACAATATTCATATATTATATTTGGACTATACGATGTGAACTATAAAAATATTTCTTTATCACCTTCGTTATTCCTGGTAAATCAACCAGTGTCAAATTCACAACTTTTGTGGAATAAATCTTCAGATTTATAGGCTCTGGACAAATACCCTTGTTACTTCCGGCCATTCTTGCTGTTTCTGCTTCAATTTCTAACCGAATTTGTTCAAAATCCCTGAATATTTTATCTTTGGCATGTAAAAATACTCCCCATTCATCAATTTCCACTGTTCCTGCAAGAAAACTTTATTATAAAAAAGCTCACGAGTCCTTCGAGTCTTAATGTTGTTTATCAACAATAGGCATATCGAATTATTTCAGTATCAAATAACCATTTTTGTCTATTTGCTAGTGATATATCGTATATCACAGCATAAAACTAAATATTTAGTATCATGTTTCGAAGAATATTGTGGGTTGAATAATCTAAAGATTAGCATAAACTAAGAGACATAAATGCAATGCAATTCATTAGACTTAGCAGACTTGATAAAAAACACTTTCCGTTAGGTATGGGGTAAATTTGATTAGTACTTATTACATGGATGAACAGCCTATGAACACACTCCTAAATGTACTGTTAATTATTCAGAATTTTGAAAAGAAGTTAACTTCAACAGAAAGAAGTTACCAATTTGATTTGTTTATTATTGGCTACAAATTTAGATTTTTCATTAAACTTTATATTGTTATAAGAGGTGCTGCTTCTTTGGTTGTATTAGAAATTTTAAAGTATTTAGAAGTAAAAGCAGAACAATCAAAATGACATGGTTTTTTGAAACATCTTGAGAATTGTAATTTTGTCAGTAGTTTTAAGTACATTTGAATGATAACTTTTTCATTCAATCAACTTTCTTTTGAGAGTAAAATTTTTGAACGAATATTAAATGAATAAATTTTAATTTGAAATTTATGATCAACAAACTAAGATTACTATTTTGGGTATGATGAAAAAGTGTGTAGTATGAGATTGGTCTCATAAAATTCCTTAAAAATCTTATGACGATTTATAAAAATTTAAAATTGGAAATATTACTTATAGTCAATTTTCTGAAATTTTGACATTCTTTTAATGGATATATCTGCCAAGATAGGTTCAATGGAAACATTTTTACTCATATATTGGATAACAAAAATGAGTGATTAAGGGGAGAAAAAATTGTGAATTGGACCAGCTCAGATAAAAAATATATTATCAAGATTTATATCCAAAGTACACCAAATTTAACAGGTTGAAATATGTAATAATAGGTCTTAAGAAGTCTAATGTTTAAAACAGGATTTTGCTTCAAACAACAGATAAGTAAATTACTTGATGAATCACTACGTGAATGTCATATTTTCCTTTGTTACTAGTGTTAACCACAGAAATTATCTGTTTTAAAAACAAACGTGAAGGATGATTATTGAAAATTTTATATGTTCCTATGGTTGTTACCTGAAAGTTTGAATTGTGGGGCTTAACAATTTGTGATTTATAATGCAAATCTATGAATCCTGTATTTGATCTTATATTCCATAGTTTTTGTTCAACAGCATATAAAATGAATGAAATAAGAAAAATAATGGAAGAAAATTTACCATCATGGGCATTTCTGTGATCCTTGTCTTCTTTTGGACAGTATACTAGTTGTAAAACGAGGGGTCTTCTGGTAACAATTCCCGTACCTCTGGGTAAAAATGATTTGCCAACTAAACTCTCAATAACCGAACTTTTACCAGAACTCTGAAAGAAATTTAATAGGGTTATGTCATCGGATCCATTTATGTCACATTTTTAAGGGTACCTGAGATCCTAGAACTATGATTTGTGGTAGATGGATGGCATCGGATCCCACAGTGTTGAATACATCCTGCAGTTTGTTGATTACAGGAATCAGGGCCTCCATTTTTTGACTTTCTACACCGGTTACCTATATTCTGATATATTGATCCTATCTTCTTTGTATTCTTGATCCCGTTTCATAGAACCATCTTAACTTTCGACAACTGATTTAATTTTATCAATTAAAATACTGAACTGAACCAGAACCAATTATTTTTCGTTAAAACTAAACATACGCCTCTTCTTAAATGATGGAGTTACAAAGAAGTATGTCTTTTATGAAAATACCAAATGGAAGTTTTTTCAAATTTGACAACAGTTTTAACATTTGACATGGTTCTGTCCGTTGACATTTTTTCAGTTCTGCCTAAATTTCCGAAGCCGGACTTACGGTGACTACTAAAGTTAATAATTTATTATGCATTAAAGGACCCATATAGAAAATATCTAGTTGACAGTTGAAGATAGAATGCCACGTTAGTTATCAAGTACCATTCGATTTTGTGGAAGAGCTTTTGCCTTAGTTCAGGGGCAAGTGGGAAATTGTTAGGATCTATTGAGATCATTTGCCAATAAAAGGTAGATATTTGATTTAGTATCTTCGTTGAATGGGTAAACTATATACTTTGAACTACAGATGTCCCAGTACGTAATGAAATAAATGTTAATAGATATGTAGTCAACGTTCAATTTTTTTAAATACTCTAACTAAAATTATAAACTTCCAGCAATATTGTACGTTAAATTAAGACTATCTGATGTGAAGGGCGTAGTTGCGGTTTTGTAAACTGGTCAATGGAAATCTCACAATGAAAACTTCTGAGAGGACGATTAGTTATACGACCTTCAAGAGGAAACAGTGGTGGGAAATCGGCAAGGGTAGCAAAGAGGTGTTCTCAGGAGGAGGGGGTTTGCCACCATTGTTATTAAACCTTGTGATGGATGAGCTTATACGTCTTTTGGTCATTCTCGCTATAAATTACTAACTTACTTGCAGAAGATTCAATACCCTATAATCCTACCAGACGTAATATGAAGATCTTTTTTTGTTCCTCTCCCTGCGCTTATATCTCCATCCAAATACTGGAATAATTGAGAAGAACATTCGTGAGTATAACATAAAGGTAAACATTCTATACCATCCTCATCGGTTCTCTATAAGTTGACAAATACCCGTTCAATACTCAGGCCTGTGAAGAAGATTTCGGAACTGTTCTAAAGCTCGAGTGTCTAGGTTGAATGGTTACGGGAGTTATCATAAATATATTTCTAGAAAAACACTAGGTAAATGTTCTAAAATACATTAATGTATTTAGCAATCAATTTCACCCGCATGGTTAGATACTTTTTAGCAGCTACTATGCCATCGATGATTAGCCATTTTAATTTATACACGTCTTAGTTTAGCATTTGTTACCCAGAAACGTGCTATGTCGCTCACTTGATCGTGAATTTCATGTTGAACTCACAATCCCATCAAGTTTTTGAACTGGAGAAGTGTAAATCCATCTTACCTAATACCAATACTTAAGAGGAATAGTTTTGTATATGAACTGGAGAGGAAATTATAGAAATTGTACCTAAGTCGAGAAATATTCTCTTCGAAATAAAATGTTATCAACTTATTGATCGAATTGTAGTTATTTTAATTTCAGTTGAGAAGTATTACGAGGCTCCAGGTGTTGGATCTTTATGAGACTCACTTTTTCTATAGTGAAAAGTATGTAAATTGAAAATAAGTATTTNCAGGAGCAATATTGGCTGCAGCAATATTGAAATTTGACAAATTGAAAAAAAATTGGTTGAATTTTCAGTTCTCTTTTAGTGTTTGAGGGTTACGATTGAGAATTTCAATAAGTTTAGCATTACTTTTTGAGTCAAATTCAATTTTTCAATGTTTCAATTGATACCTTGAAATAAATTGAAGTTTTAAATGTCAACTTTTTTTTTACTAGGGGCAAGGGCGCGAGACCTCGGCAAGAGTGAGGTCTAAGACGGTTGTTCGGCTCGCCACTGGTTGAAGGAATCCTTTTTACCCTTCACTACGCCAATGTAAAAATTCTAACGAGATAAAATCCTAAGTCCCAACTTCAACTTGTTTATCAGCATTTTACTATTGCGTGATGTATACAAAAGTGACAAATGGAAAACGTTTATTGTTGAGTTGTGAATATTATTGAGTGATGATATAAATTGTCTCGTAGTTTGTTGTCGCAGAGTTGGACACGATGGCTTTTTCGTTGAACAGTAAACTTTTATTTTCCGCCAAAGCCAATTTAGAGCGGCTATTGAATACTCAAATGAAATACACGAGTACAGCAGCACATACCTTGAAAATAGCCGAAAGAATTAAACAAAAGCGAAACCAGGCATTGCTGGGAGGAGGGCAGAAAAGAATTGATTCACAACACAAGAAGGTGAGTTGATTTATTACAGTTTACACAGTGATTCTTTTCATTATTATTGTTATTTGTAAAATCACGAAAGAAAGATTGTCTCCTGTATACTTTCACCTCAATTTTTGGCCTCTGCTGAAAAGAATCCCACGGCTGTTGCACGTGACCGTTGACTTAATATATATAATATGGACTGAGAACTGAGAGAACATTGACTTAAAGAAAGATGGATATATCAATGTTTTGGCATTTACATCACTCATTCATATTTTACGTGTTCTATGAATTTCTCGAGTATTTCTGTGTTTTTTTAGACATCTTGATACTGGCGGTTTACCACTTAATAGTTTCTATGGATTATTAGGGCGATGAGTTAAAAAAAAACTGGCATTTGCAGTATTTTTATGATTTTTATTTGGGTGTTTCGATAGTGATTATTTTAGTTTTTGGATTGTTGGTACTATTTTAATTTTTATAGTCATGTGTTAGTGGTGTAATTTCAAATTTCAATTATTTCATTCCAACAATGGAAAAATGTTCAACTCCCAATTGGTATTAGACAAATTGACAATTTTAGACTACTATACTATTTACATCACTTGATGAAGATATCTACATGACTTCAACAGAAAATCAAGACTTGGAAGTACATTCAATGCACAAAGTTATGTTTAAGGTTAGAATTTTTCATTATTGAAACAGTTTTCATCGTTTCTCAAACGAAAATGAAGGTTTTCAATTCTTTGTTGTTATGGTTCTGTAGAAATCGTCAGAACAGAACGATGTTTCTTGGGGAAAACAATAATAAAGCATATTATTAAAAGAATAATACTTGTGTGCTTCATTTCACTATAAAGGATGTTTCCTAATTACGGTAAAAAAAAATGTAAGGGCGTGTTCAGGAGCTGAATTTCTGAAAAAATGTCATTATAAACATAGATCCGGAAATAGATTGTTTCCAAGATATAGGGTGGTAAACTTTTCTAAATAGTCCATTTTATGGAGTTTGGGGTGAATTGTTGGGTAAAACATCTAAATATAGTTAGATCACTTTGATTTCCAGAAAAAAATNCCAAGTGATCATATTCAAGAGGAAGATGACTTTCCTCTTACTTGGTGATTGAAACACGTGTCGAGGTGTTGAAAATAACGATTTGGTGTTGGGATTGAACTCCAATATTACTTATTTTTCAACACATTCAATGGTTTTTGCAAACTTCATGATGATTCTCATTTAATTGTTTCGTTTTCATTTTTTATTTTTCTGCTGAGTTGTATTTACATACATATATTTTTTGTTCTTTCATGAACATTCAATGTTTCTAGGGAACAATACACATTATATTATGCCTTTGAAGTTTCCAGGTGATTCCGTTATAACAGGACATGGTTTGGTAAATGGAAGACCTGTTTACGTATTTAGTCAAGACTTCACCGTTTTTGGTGGAAGTCTTTCCAGCGTTCACTCAAAGAAAATATGCAAAATTATGGACCAAGCTCTCTTAGTGGGTGCTCCCATAGTGGGGTTGAACGATTCAGGGGGTGCTAGAATTCAGGAAGGAGTGGCCTCTCTTGCAGGATATGCCGATATTTTCCAAAGGAATGTACTAGCCTCTGGTGTCATACCACAGGTGAGTGGAAGACAACAGGAATTCAACTGTATCATTTTTGTTATGTTCAATATCGTTCATTTATATTGATCATATAATGACTACAACTCTGATGCTGTTGGTTTACGAGTTAAAATTATTGATGCACTAGAACAGATGAATGGAATTAGCAGTGACAAAAAAATAAATCCGGTGTACTACAGGGAACAGTTTTGGGACCTCCTTTGTCTAGCATTTATCTCAATAACTCAATAATAGGAGATGATACAATTGAATTCAATTGAAAATGAAACCAAATTTGATTAAAAATTGGTTTGATTATAACCAATAACGTTTGATAAAATAAAATATAATAATTCTAAGCTGAATTCACTGATATTCTACTCTTTTTTAAAAAAACCCTTATTCATGAACCAATAAAAATGAAATAATGATCGACATAAATCTCAAATAGGTAAAGTAATGGAGTAAGTTTCTAAAATAGTACTTACATATATCAAATATATGTATATGAAAAACGAAAAAGTTCTCTAATTTTCATTAATATAATGACAAATGAATTACGGAATTCTGTCTTGTGGAGGAATTATAAAATGCTATCTATCGAAAGTTGATATACTGAAAGTTATTCATTATATTCATATGTAATTGAGAATCTAGATGATGGTGAGAAATTGAATATTTTGGGTGAAATTTGACCATTGACAAATGTTTGCCAGAAGACCAACTACCTCCATGATTGATAGCATTTATTGAATTACATCTGACGAACTTTTTTTTTACACTTAAAAAAATTGTATGAACTTTTAATGATTGTGATTAACATAAAATAATTCTGTTTTACTTATATTTTCAGATTTCTCTTATAATGGGTCCGTGTGCAGGGGGAGCAGTGTATTCACCTGCAATTACTGATTTTACTTTCATGGTTGAGGACACATCATATCTTTTTATCACTGGTCCAGATGTGGTGAAGGTTTGTTCAATTCACTTGAGCTTTTACATCTGCAATTATTCCCATTTATGTTTTCTTTCAGTCAGTTACCAATGAAGATGTTAGCCAACAAGAGCTGGGAGGAGCAAAGACTCACACCACCATATCAGGTGTAGCTCATAATTCCTTCAATAATGATGTAGATGCATTGTTACAGTTGAGAAACTTCATGGGATTTCTTCCGCAGTCAAATAAATTTCCAGCTCCAATCAGGGAGTGTAATGATCCTTGGTAATGACAAATAAAAGTACTTGGCATCATTCATTATTAAGTTGTCTTGGTGACTCAACTTCAGATTTTCATGGATAAACTGGTGGGAGGAGGACTCATGATTATGGTTTATTAATAAACCGAGACCTTGGGATAAATAAAAACAGCTTTGAATTACCAATGGCTCTTTCTCCAACAGTTCAATCTTGAAAATCATTCTCTATCAAATCAGCATTATCCATATATTGGATGATTCTGGAATTTGGCGAAGATTTTGAAGACTGAATTATAAAATTAAAAAAAAAAAACAGAATACCTACAACCAAATTGTCTAACTTTGCAGATAAAAATGTATCAGAATATTCCAATAGGCTTGAGTTCATATCCTATTGATTTTTTTCATGCACTGATGAAGTCAAATGGTTATTTTTTCAGTCTAAATTTGGCCATACCTTTAATTTTTGTTTTCAGTAATTTGGATGTCCCATCTCTTGATACAATCATTCCATCATCTACGACCACTCCATATGACATGCTGGATGTTGTTCTGAGTATTGTAGACGAGAGAGACTTTTTCGAAATCATGCCAAAATATGCTAAAAATATCATAACAGGTTTTGCGAGAATGAATGGAAAGACAGTAGGAATAGTAGGAAATCAACCGAAAGTAGCAGCAGGTTTGTTCATATTTTTCATGAAATACAACTGATTCATCAATAACACATTGTTTCTTATTTTTAGGTTGTTTAGATATAAATGCGTCTGTTAAAGCTGCACGATTTGTTAGATTTTGTGATGCCTTCAACATTCCTATTATTACCCTAGTCGACGTTCCAGGCTTCCTTCCTGGAGTTACTCAAGAACATTCCGGAATCATCCGCCATGGAGCCAAGCTTTTATATGCTTACGCAGAAGCTACGGTTCCCAAACTTACTGTAATCACAAGAAAGGTTTAAAAAAATTTTAAATTAGTTTATAGAATTATGGTTCCACAAGGTTCATTCTTGCGGCCTGTTTATTCAACTTCAGTGGACATCTTATTACTCTAGGAATGCTTTTTTTTCAGGGGTATGGTGGCGCCTATGATGTGATGTCTTCTAAACATCTGAGAGGAGACATTAACTACTGTTGGCCATCAGCAGAAGTGGCTGTTATGGGTGCCAAGGGAGCAGTAACTATATTGTTTAAAGGAAAACCAGATTTACAACAAAGAGAGGCTGAATATATTGATAAATTTGGAAGTCCCTTCCCTGCAGCTCAGAGAGGTTAGTATATTTTGTCAAATGGTTGTAGTTTAGACCACAGACGTTCATTTTCTTTGTTAACAGAATTACTCCACTTTATACGGTATTGAGGAAAAACACAAATAAGTACAATAAATAATAAGATGGCTAAATGTAGGAGAAATACACTTATGTTTCTATATCTTAATGAAATGTAGTTTATTGGGTTTTATATATATTTTTTTAGATTCTTCGTTTATATATACCTACTCTCTAAGGCCACATTAGCAGAGTTTTTGTTGCATGAAAGTTTTTAATATACCTAACAGATAAAAATAGATTGTTTCACACAGCTTCAAGACAGAACATTTTGTAGAATAGAACCACTCTTACAATTGAAAAGACCCATTTTTGATATAATTCATTATATTTATTCCATGTTAAGTTTTCATCTATGTACATGCTGAAGAATTTTACAACGGAAGAAATCTTCAATGTTTTCATTCAATTTATCCGGATCTTCTGAGAGAATATTGAATTTTTTGGAAATGAACTGGGACGTTGGTTTTGCAAAATATAAACATTTGAATTAAGTGAGGTTTTTTTTTCTAGGTTTTGTTGATGACATAATTGAACCAAGGTCCACTAGATGGAGGCTATGCAGAGATTTGGCCTTGTTGGAGACCAAAAAATTGGAAAATTATCCGAGAAAACACGGAAATATTCCACTGTGAGAAAACTTTTTGAAAAATATATATTATAAAGTTTCTACTTTGATTTTAATTGCACCCTGAAGGGATTTTCCAAAGAATTTTTTGAATTTGATGATTCAATTTAGCAAATTGGGTTCAAATGAAACAACCATATATACTTTCAGTCTTATTTAACAACTTACAACAACTTTATTACAATTTACAATATTTAAGCAAACAAAATTATCGATATTGTGTTACAATAGATTAGTGTAAAATATTATTATCGATTTCATTAAAGTGCATTTTTTGTGACAAACAAAAACATTATTCTATAAAGATTTGATTATGTAATACCTTGTAATATTCTTTATTTCACTATAGGCCAGGGCACTAAAAACTATCTTCTACTTTTACAATATTATCAGTATATATCACATTGGGATTTTTACAACTTTAACTATACCAATACACAGGGCGTTTTGTTAGTTCATGAAACGTATAATTATTTCTTGTTATTAATTCTGTAAAACCAGAAAATAAAGCATCATATTTACCATATTCTACACCTTGTATATTGGCAAATGCACAATAATACACATTACATTAAGTATTAACTAAAGATGAAAATATACAGGTTTAAAACAGGTTTAAAATTATTCTAGGTATAAAAGGTATCTTCCAACAAATAAAAAAATTGTTTCATGGAGTCTCTTAAACAGAGGAGTTATCAAAACAGTTACTATAGCTACACAGTTATTATTGTACGGGAGATCGATACTGAACAGATAGTTATTCCAGAACACATCAAATTCTTCAACACTAGCTGTGCATATACAGGGTATCTTCAAGTTGTCCTATGGTAGTTGAACAAAAAAATAGTATTTCCAGGAGCATAGAGATATTTCACATTCAAAATATAATTGTAAAAGTTGGAGGTATCAAAATTGTACAAAATGTATTTTTAATCTATATTTTGAGATTTACCACCCGTCACTCTGGGCCACCTTCAAAGGATCAAAGAAGATACCATGTATAATTTCGGCAAGTGATAAATGAATACCTTGTCTTTAAATGAACATTCACAAGCATAAAAACGTTACCAGTATGAAACAGTTTGTTGAAGTAATACCAACCATATTAAACGTCATTGAAATTAAAGGCAAGCAAATGGACAACATTTAAATGTTCTTGGTCAGCTAACATCAATGATACTTTGCGGCCATCAGTATGTCACAATTTTTCAGTTACCAAATTATTATAGATGAAGTGATTTCTTATTAATGAACTGAGGTCTAGCTTGCGAGTTCTATTCCTCAAAAATAGTTTATAAATACCTAAAGATTGTAAATCAGACCTAAGAATTTCTCTCACTAAGAGAATTTTTCATCACGTCATTTGCAATTTTATCTATTACCTAAAAAATATCGAATAAAGCATGTTCATTGGTCGTATATATCGTTGGCTTTTTTAAAGAATCATTGGGGTTTCAAAAGAAAATACTTGTTAAACCTCATGACAACTTTTGAGTAGTTGATCTGTCATTGAATTAAAAAAACATTGTGACGTTTAAATTTTTCCTAATATTATAAAAGACGAGCAATTGAATTGTAAATGTAGGGTGCTGTAAGGTACCAAACTATGTTGCATAGTCTTCGTCGTTAAGTAAATGCGCTGTAAGATTGTTGAATGATGAAAACAAAATTATAATGCTCTCACTCAAACTGAATTATTGATTGATCGATCGATATGTAAGTTATTATTAAATGTGTGATATCGTTGAATGAAATAATCCTGTGAATATTATCTTCACGAATAGCTACGAGAAAGAAATTCATCATTTCATAAGGGTGCTGCGTGGGTCAGTTTCAGGACCCATACTGTGAATTATCAGGAAGCCTAAAAAGTATTTTCTATTAACCCATTCACATACTATTCGTCTTTCGGACCTACTGTCACTACAGATCGGGTTAGAAAAATCTCTTCGCATCTACAATAACTAAAACTAGAGAATGGGAGGAAGAAAAGTTCCGGAATCGTTCAGATTCGAGTCCAGCTTCGTAACGGTGTCATGTAACCTAGTTTCTATGATTTTGGCCTTGACTTTATCACCTTTCTGTATGATGCATTTGTGGTGGATGCGGGAGTGGCTGCTGCCTGAAGTGCTGCTTGATGAGTGACTTTCGTGCGAAACATTGACTTCCGAGTGGCTGTGGCGCAGCTCGGCGCCCGGTTTTTGGGATTGGTTTCCGGCGAGAATCCAGGGATGACGCTGAGCTTCGTCGGGGGTCATGCGCTTCTTGGAGTTCCAGCTGAAAGGAAGGAGAAACTTGAATTGATTTGGAAATATCGTTTTCCTTAATAAAAAATAACACGAAATACATTGTTACTCTTCCACACAGTTATATCCGACTATTTTGATTTCTGTTTGAAGAATTGACCGTCTAATCGTGTTTGACAATAACAAAATGATCCATCGGACTATTTAGTCGCGATTAGAACGATTAATTCAACGACTGATGTTCAAAAGATCAGTTGAACAAATTCGTTTAGCCGCGGAGTATGTCTTTTCGGATAGAATTATTCATTCTCATTGAGAAATACAAAAAAATTACTGCATATAATGTGGCTTCGACCGAAAGATGACATCCCCAAGAGTAAGTGCGAATCCAGGGGGGTCATGACTCCTTGGGCTGGGTCTAGGACTTAAGTGGAACACTAATTGAAATTGTTAAACATAATGTTTACAGATATTTTTGTCATAATATAGATTTTATTTAAGTACTTTCAGCATTTAAATAATTTGATATAATAATTTGTTTGACGGCAAACGCATCATTCGGGAACGAATGCATCAAAAATTTGAATTTTACCGCGTCACGGCTGCCACCCTTGCGCCAAAGTTAGATCCGCAATTGCCCGAGAGGCAAGTTGTTCACATTGGAAGTTCATTTATAAACGAGTTCTGAGTTATAGATGGATGATAACATAGGTATACTTACTCTAAACATTTCGAGATGAAATCGATGAACATGGGATCATTGCAGCGCAAGACCATCGCCAAGTTCTTAGAACCGGGTTTCCGCTTTCTGCCCTTTGAGTTGGTTACGCAGCGGGGGTTCCCACGGGAATCTGAAGAAGAAATCAAAATTTCAAGATCGAGAGTAAGAGGTAGATTTTGTAAGAGCACGAAGTTCTTTTTGTATAAGAGTAAAAGTAAATTTGGTTGAGTGTTTCTTTTTTTGAGTTTGAGAAAAGCTACTTTGCTTTGCCTACCGAAAAATAATCTACGCCTGGTAGCAACACTAATGAGCTCGTCAGGCGGTGGTCCCATAACTTCCATCAGGCACGCTAGCTGTTCAACTTCATTCTCGCCGGGGAAAAGAGGATACCCAGTATGAAGTTCTGCTAATATACAACCTGCAAAGGTACATAAGTTTCAGTTGAATCATACACATGTGATATATATTTCAAAAGATATTCAATTCTTGATGTTATGTTTTATTTTAACCAAGAAAGTCATTGACATTTTCTACAAAGATGAAAAATTGTCTACTCAGTGAAATGCAATTTATTTTTTGCTAAAATTTATCTAGGATGGCTTTAAATAACATAAACATAAATTTTTGATATTTAATATTTTATAGGAAGACATCTCCCGTTTGTGGGTTTGACATAAGACTCAATCCTCGAATATCAAAGATTAGCGAGGCTCCCCAAGGCTAGTTTCAACTAGTTGCCTTGCAGCGAAACTAAGATAGAGGAAGAATCTCGCTTGGTAGTCGATGTCAAAGCTTGCAACTGACTACCTTGGAGAACCTCGCTTATCATTGATATTCGTGGATACCGTCTTCTGCCGATCCCATAGATGGTGTCTTAGTACGGGGAGATGTCATCGCTTTTATAAGGTTGTTTCAAAAGTTTTTTCCGTTTCAATGTCATGTGTTTTTGTAGCTCCATATCTAATAAATATTTTTTTACTCTTATGTGGTATTTACTGATTTTGACGTTGTTGATTTTTTCCGAATTCTAATTTTTTCTCAGACAATTTTTCTCTACGAATTTAAATTGTCCCCACTAGGATACATCCTCGGTGGAGACTGGCCCATCACAAACGGTGCATGGGACGGTGGAAAAATTGGGCGATAGCTCCCATGCGGTTTTTGATGGTTTAAAACGAATTGGAAAGGTCAATGAGCTCGAAAAGTGGTTGCACCACGATCTGAACGATCGACAGAAATTGTCTCTCTTCGAGGTCTGTTCTTCTTTGCTTTTGCGTAACCAAAACGATCCTGTTTTGGATCGAATCGTCACGTGTGATGAAAAGCGGATCCTCTACAATAGTCTTTATCAAAGTGGGCGATAACGCCCCCTTCTGGGCGTTGGAGGCCTATAGGGGGGCAGTAAAGGGCACAGAGAAGATTGGGAGGCGTTGAAGCGGTTTAGGAAGGCGATGGCTAATTTAAAAATGTTTTTTTGCTTTTAACACAAACTTTACCGCTCTTTTACGCTCAACGCGCGTTTCCTCGTGTAACGCCATCCAGGGGACTAACAGTAACTATTTCCTGTCCGATAATTGTCAAACTATACAATAGATGGCGGTAAGCTTCAATGCGAAGCGAGAAGTTTCTAGTCTCCATTCTCGAAAGTACTAGGTCCGCCCGCTGCCTCATATAAAAGCGCGCGCGCCATCCAGCCAGTAATGTTATTCGACGATATTACAAAAACAAGTGAATTTAGTTAGCTACTAGCTAGGTAAAGTGCTGCACGTGCGGTGGTGAATACTGTGAGTGGTGTCATTAGCAAGTTTTTAATACTCGATTCTTTACTTCGGCATTTTTGAAGACAAAATTATGTCAGAAGCAAAAAAGAAGAAACGGCAGTATAGCGCGGAATATATAAAATATGAAGCGATGAAACCCTCAAGGCTATAAGATCACTTGAATAAAATGTATTCAGATGAAAAAGACAAAAGTGTGACTTATTTTCAAGAACCGGAAAAGAAACACTCAGCTCAGCCAACTGTGCCAAAACTTTTTTCAGTGGCTTCTAAGCAAGACGACGACGCACTCCAAGCTTCCTACAATATCTCCTTGCTAATTGCTCAAACAGGTGAACCTCACACTATCGGAGAGGATTTAATTTAACTGGTAATAAAAGAAGTAATAACTACTGTGCTCCATAAACCAGCGGCAGATATCCAAAAAATTCCTTTAGGCAATAGTTCCGTTCAAAGACGAATTGATGAGATGGCTGAAAACATTGAAGAGTCATTGTGCTATCATTTGAAGACTTCTAAATTCTCAATTCAGTTAGATGAGTCCACTTTACCAACCAATGAAGCGTTGTTGTTGTCATACGTGTGGTTTATTAAAAATGAGAAAATATATGAAGAACTACTATTTGCCAGAAATTAGGAGACGGATACAAAAGGAGAAACCATATATAATACATTGGAAAAACTTTGTGATGAGAAAGAACTTCCACTGAAAAATATTATATCAGCTGCTACGGATGGCGCTCCGGCTATGACAGGACGACACAAAGGCTTCATAGCGTACTTGAAAAATAAAATTCCAGATGTGCTCGCTGTACATTGCGTCATTCATAGGCAACATTTTGTTGCGAAAAATTTGAGTGAGCGCCTCTCTCAATCACTGCAATATATAATCAAAGCAGTCAATAAAATCCGAAACAGCTCTTTAAATGACAGATTATTTAATCAGCTTTGTGTTGCTGATGATGAATATTTCAACCGATTGCTATTTCACACAGAAATTCGTTGGTTATTTATCAAGAGGTAACTGTCTGACTCGCTTTTACAATCTATTTGGCTCTGTAACAGAGTTCTTGGAAAACAAAGACAAAGAATTGCACGACAACCTCACCACTTCAAAGAATGATATTGGGTACTTGACAGAACTGTATACATTATTTAATGATGTTAATCTACAACTTCAAAGTGACGACTTGAATTTGATTAAAACAAAAAATATCATTGCTGCTTTTGTAGCCAAATTGCTCTTATACAAGAATAATATCGACAGACGTGAGTTTCGTAATTTCCCTAATTTGTCAGCAGTATCCTTTAACAATGACGACTTGCTTGTTTATTGCCAACATTTGGAGAACCTCCACAGTGATTTCGTAGAACGATTCCAAGTCATTTTAAAATTGGAAATACCGGACTGGGTGTTGGATCCTTTTTCAAATGTCAACACAGCAAGATCACCCCAGCTGGAAGAAGAACTCATAGAACTGATAACGAACGAGGAAATAAAAATAAAATTAAAAAATGGATACCAAAAATTTTGGCTACAAAAGCCAATCCCGCAATTGTACCCTGGATTGTGGTCCATCTTTCAACGATTTTTGATAACATTCACATCATCGTATTTGTGTGAACGTGGATTTAGTGCTGTGGCAACGTTGCTAACTAATAAGAGAAATCGGTTGCAGATTACCGAACGCGGTGACATACGGCTGATTGGACACCGATGAGCCATCCAGGCACTTCCTATAAAGGCGAAAACCCACCAAAAAATACCATGGTTACTGTGTGATTTATTATAACTTCGTGCAACCGGATCAAACCATCACAGCATCACAGTGAGAAAATCGACAAAATGTACCGAAAATTGAGTCAGCAGCAGCCGCACTGGTCAACAGAAGATTTCTGATCCTGCTCCACGACAACGCCCGCCGCACGTTTTACAAATCACTGTCCAAAAATTAAACAAATTGAGCGTCGAAGTTTTGTGTCACAAACCATTTTCCCAAAACTTTTTTGCCAATCGACTACCATCTTTTTGAACACTTCGATAAATTTCCCACCGGTAGAACCTTCACCAATTAGGGCCAGGCAAAAACTGCCATCGTCGACTTCATCGAATCCCAAGCAGAGAATTCTGTTTCTGACGGAATTAATCAACTTGTGTTACGTTGGCAAATCTGCACTGATTCAAATGACGCTAATTTCGATTAAATTGAACAAATATTCACTGAGATATTACGGAGAAAACTTTTGAAACGAGCTATTACTTGCTCAGGCTTATCCTATATGGACATTTGAGTTCAGCAATGCATTTGCGTTTCAGCCTAGCACCACTAATGATGTTTATGGTGGGTCGATACAGATCTGCTTTTTTAGCTCTAGTTTTGAATATTCACTTCATGTATATAATATCGTGAGTTGTTCAACTGATTCCGCTCGTTGTAGATATTTTTTAATGGGCGAAAAATAATCTTTCATACTTGATTCCGAAGACGACCGTTTCAGAGTATTCCCATCAGCTTTTCAACACTGGCTCACAATGTGTTTTTTTAAGGACAAAACACAAGCACTACAGGAAATTCTTAAGGAGCTCTAAGAGCAGTGCCTGTGTGTTATATCTTTTTGATGTTGTCCTGTTGTGTTGGATAGTGTAGTTTTTATACCCATATTATTGTGTGCAGTTTAGTTTTGAGCTAAAAATTTGGAGTTGTGTGATTTCGATTTTTCTGTGAAGATATTTAAGTAGAGAAATAAAGGTTCACAAATACTGTGTGGTGCAGTATTCTAAGAGTACCACCGTGCCTAGTCAAAAGGGCGTTTACCACTTATGAATATGGGTATAGATACAAGAAAAATTTAGTTGGAAGCTATATGGCGTGATCTGAAAGAGTCATCAATAGAGACGTCCTGGTTTATTTGCGAAGATGATCTCATTTCAGACGAAGTTTTTTGAAATTACGTAACTTGCAAAAACTAATAGTTTTTCTGCACTGGCAGGAAACATAGCAAATTTGAGTTATTCTCTTAGCTTTAAGTAAATATAAATCCATTTTTCAAAAAAATGATCCTTCCTTAATCGAAACCCAAAACTGAATTGGTTATGGCAAAAATGATGCCGGTGCGCAACATATAAAGACTTGTGACGTTATTCAAAAAGTGACGCAAAATTTAAAAGAAATACATGAACTGCAATAAGAATTTAACAGTACATACATTTAACGAAATGTAATGGCGAAAAAAGATCATGTTGGCATTCGAGCGAAAATTTAAAAAATACTAGTGTTTTTTGTAAGCTTCAAAAACTCTCACTTCTAATTATGATTTTTTGTAGTAGCGATTCTTTTCGATACAGTGGTAGGCCATAATTTGCTTTCCAAGAAATGAACATGTTTATAAAAAGGAAATGAACCAATTTAGAGTGATACATATACATTAAAAAATACACTGCTTTGAGTTTCAATCCTAGTTACAACTGATTTTTTACTTTTGATAACTCATTGTATTTTTGAAGGTGATTGACAATGTTTCATGATGAATTTCACTAGTTCGGACTTCCATTGTCTGATATTATATAAAATGATTTGAAATCCCTCAAATAACCAATAAAAATGAAAAAATAAAAAGAATAGCTAAGAATTAACAATTATATTAAGCAAAAATAACCTG